TTGGGGGGCAGACGGCAGGCAGGCGGGCGGCGACCGACCGGGCGAACGCGAGCCGACGGGCGGGCGGGTGACAGAGGCTGGCAATAGAAGAGCCGAGAGCGGGGAGGGGAGAAGGGGGGGCCCAGTTGAAACCACTCGTCTTATACAAGGAGCGCGAGGATGGCCAGCAAGATTGTGCAGGATATGCCGCCGTCGGGTGGGTACAAGCCCATTCGCTACGCCCGGCGGCTGCCGGCGCGGCCCATCTCGTCGATGGCCATGTTTGGTCTCACTGCGGCGGTCACCCTGGGTGGCTTTGCGCTTGTTGCCAAGGGCAATGCTGAGCGCCGGTACGTGCCACCCAAAATGGGAGGGAGGGGGAGGGGGGAGGGGTTAAAGAGGGGCGAGGAGGGGGGGAAAGGAGGGAGGGGGGAGGAGCACAGGGAGGAGGCACAGCAGCGGCGGTGACGTTGGCGGCGGTGAGCAGGAATTTGTGGCTGTGGCGGACGCGGCGGCGGCAGGCGGCGACAGACGGCAGGCGACTTACTGAACGAGGGCGATGGGGTTTGTTGATGATGACGGGGAGATAGTGCTGTGCAGGCTGAGAAGGACCGTGCTCGGATGGCTCTCGTTCCGCTGCTGCAGGCTGAGGAGGACCGGCGGTACGTGGCGCTCGACCTCGCACGGCGGGCAGAGGAGGAGGAGCTCATGGCCGGAGTCAAGAACTGGAACACCGACCTCGCTGCCATCTACCACACCCGCGACTGGATGCCGCCTGCAGGTGCCTCGCCGTTCCCTGCCCAGAACTAAACTACACTCGTGGCTCTACTGCTCTGCCACCCCGCCGCCGCCGTCATCGTTGTCGGCAGACGGGCCGGCGAGGAGCGCAAAGATCGCCTCTATCTCGTCCTGCCTTCGATAGCCCCGCACAAGCTCGGGAATGCCAAAGCCATGACGGTCTTGCGTGGTGGTGCTGGCTCCGGCTGCGACGAGGGTGCGAACGACGCCAAACGGGGCGACGTCGCGCTGAACTGCGACATGAAGCGCAGTCTGTCCGAACCGGCCCTCGACCTTGTCGACAAGCGCTGGCCGCAGCGCCTCAGGCGCGATACTCACAAGCCACCCCGCCGCCGCGTCAGCGGCGTAGAACGCAGCAACCATGAGTGGATACGTCATCGCTTGGGTGCGCCCGCGGTAGCCGTGATACGCCCAGCCCGAGTTGATGACCGACGGGTAGGCGTGATGGAGGGCGGCAAGCGCAGACGGCGCGTTGGCAGCCACTGCAGCAAGGCCTAGAGCCGCAGGGATGTAAGTGGCAGCGTGTGGAACGGCAGAGCGGACCCGCGCGATTGCGTGCTTGGCAACAAGCAGGATGAGCCCATCGGCGTCGGCGCCGAGGGCGAGGGTTAGCGCAGCGCGACGCGCCATCTGCAGCTCGTGCTCGAGCATCAGATACACGTTGCCGTGGCGCGCCTCAACAGCCTCGATTGCGGCGGCGAGGCGGACGCATCCTTCGGCAATGGCAGCATCCAGATGATCTGCACGGGCCGGCCACAGGTTGGAGCACACAGGGCCAACGGCGCCGAGGACACCGCGGACAACCGGCAGGGCGAGGTGCGGCCGGGCAAGTGTGAGCGCAAGCTCTGCCGTCGACGCTGCCGCCACCTCACGTGGAAGCAGGAGCTCTGACTCGGGATCGTTGGCCAGGCGCAAGGCAGCGCTCGCCAGAGACTGGATGATGGACACAGCCCGCGCCGGATCAGCCCAGTCACGAGCGAGCCAAGCGTCGAGGACCGGGCGGGCGGTGAGCGGCGAGGCGGCTACGGCGCGAAAGGCGGTGCAGACGGCGGAAAAGGCTGAGAGCTCGACCACGTCGAGCCACGACGCTATTTCTCCCAGCAGCTCGGCAGGCAGGTCCTGCATGGCCACGCTGCGTGCGCTGGACATGGCAGAAGTGAGCTGCCTCGCTCGAGGCGGACGGAAGAGGAAATGGAAGGTTCTTTCTTTGCGCCGTGGCTGGTCGGACATGATGAGCGCGGGACAACGGCGGCAGCCCAGGCTCCGACTACAGGTACAGAAACTCGGGATAGTTGGTCCGCTCGTCAAAGGCGTCCTCGAGCGGCCAATCAAAGTCGGCCCATGCCGATCGGGCGGCGAGCGGGAAGATGCGCTCGAGCTGCCAGGCGTTCATGGCCGACGGCGCAAAGATGCGCGGGCCGAAGCACTTTGTCCGCTTGGGTGGCCAGCCGCCGAGAAAGCCATCAGGATGGGTGATGCCGGCACAGGCCGGTGCTTCGACAGCGCGGAACGAGGCGCTGAACCTGCGGAGCTCGGGCGTGGCCTTGTGCTTGGCAATGGCGTTAAAGGCGGCGTCGTCAAAGCTGGCGCGGAGATCGAGGAGGTCCAGGATCCAGCCGCCGAGCTCGGCCTTGTCGTCAGCGTCGAGGTCGAGATGGGCGGCGCCGGGAACAACAAAGCCCGCAAGCTCGGCTGTGGTCATGTGCTTGGCGCGGGTGGCGAGATCGCAGCCCATGTGGACGTACGGGACTGACTGGACGCCGCGGATGACGATGGCGGCCCGGAAGGCGCCCTGCGCAATCGGCGTCCGGCAGTAGAAGCATGACGACCGGCCGGTCGTCGCCCGAGCGTACGGGCACGGCCGGTCGTCCTCAAAGAACCGGCCGACCTTGAACCGCCACAGGAAGTACCGCCGCCACCCGCCCGCCACCCCGTCGACTTTGGTCCGGACCTCGGCCAGCGGCGTCGCCGGCAAGTGCTTGGCAAACAGCTTGCGCCAGAGAAACTCATCGCCCACCGCCGCCGCCCAAGCCTTGCTCACCAACTGCGCTGCGAGCACATCGTCGACGTCGAGCTGGTAGAGGATGAGCAGGACGAGCTCGTGCGGGAGGGCGCGGACAAGATCAACTTTGGCCTCCTCCGCTCCGCTGCCCTTCTCGGTCTTTGCACCCTTGCCGCTCCCCCTCTGTGTCTTGCTCCGCCTGCCCCTCGTCGCCATCGCCGCCACTCGCTTGCTTCCCACGCCCGAGCCAGCCATGGTTACGAGCAGTGGCTTGACGTTTTGTAGATTCTTTGGTTGACCTCCAGAAAATGGCCGCGGCGAAGTTGCTGCGGCGAACTTCGCCAGCGCGAATTTTCACCCACTCGAAAATAGCCGCGCGTGCAGAGCGGGACATTGCCCGCCATCCTGGCAACGCCGACGCGGTAGTCTTCCACTCGGCTAGCTCGCCAACTTCTCTCGGCAATTTCACCCCCGTTCCTCCCTACACACGACGTTCTAGTTCTCGACTAGCTGTGCACGTAGTTTTGACCTTTGAAGGATCAAACGCACACTCGGACGAGACCCTCTTCGCAAGCCCCAGTTTGTGTTGAGTACCCCCAGGACGTTCGAACCATCACACCGCCGATCGTAGCCGCACCCCTTTTTTTTGCCCTCCAACCGACGACCAGTAGCCCCTTCCTTGGGACTCTCTGATACTCGTACCCCCTGCGGAGACACAGCCTAACCTTGTGACCGTTGCACAAAGCGTTTGAGCCTTCTTCCGTCTTCCTCCGACGACTTTAGCAAGCACCAAGCCGTTGCTTCGACCACCCACATTGTTCGCCTGGTGTGTTTTTTGGCCCGAAGCGACCCTTTTTGCCCCTGTCGCGCCCACTCCCCCCTCCGCACACACACACCGCCGCCGCACACGTCGAGACTCTGCACGTAGACCATGACGAGTGTTGTGACGCCGATGAACCCCGCCAGCGAGAGCAACTCGTACGGTACCAACAAGCGCAAGCGGCGCCGCCAGAACGAGACCAAGGCGCACCGTTCTCAGGAAAAGAAGCGCCGTCAGCTGATCAACGGTTCGATTGTCCGGCTCAAGGAGCTTGTTCCGTACTGCGAGGGCAAGCGGACGACGATCATCAACGTGCTCTCTGCAACGGAGAAGTACGTGGCTGAGCTCAAGGATCGTGAGCAGGCGCTCCAGGACGAGGTCTTCCGCCTCCGCGCTGCTCTGGGCATGGGCTCATCGCTCGGACCGCTCGCGCCGCTCGACACGTCTGCGATTGCACCGATGCCGACCAAGATGCCGACACCGTCTGCCATGTCGTCGTCGACGTCTGCGTCGTCGTCGGGCTCGCGGTCGCTCTCGTCGGAGCCGATGGCCGTTCCTTCGGCCGTCCCGCACTACACACCGGCGCCGGCGATGCTCAACGGGTCGCCACCACTCGCGCTGGCCACGCCGATGGACCCCTCGCCGTACGCGCACCTCGCCACGCCGCCGGTGCTCTCGTCGGCGTTCTTTGGCAACTACGACAAGCCGCTCTCGGGCTCGCCGTCGCCGACCCAGCCGTTTGCCGCCGCCCACGCCCTCTCGCCCGCAGACATCCAGGCCGCGCTGGCCAAGACCGCCCTCCCGCCGCTGGACAGCCTCGCCTTTGTCCCGCCCACTCCGCCGCCGTCGCATGACTCGGCTGAGGCCCAAGCCTTCGACTTTCTCCAGTCTCAGGACACAATTTTGTTTCCTCCGCTGATCTGAGACTGAGAGCGATGTCCCCCCCTCTTTACCTTGCTCCCCAGGCTGGAGCCCTCTTTATCTTCGACTCTCTTTTCTCTCAACTCGGACCCTCGGGATCTCGCCCGCCTCGCATTGCATCTTTATCTTTCCCTCTCTTTACCTTTGATGCGAAGCAGGCGAGCCCCGGGTGGACGTCACACTGTGAATCCGCCTCCTCGAACTGCCTACGCCTTGGCGTCGTCTGGATCGTCCTTGCCTTGCCCGCCGCTTCCTCGTCTCGAAAGAGACCAGGCAGCGACTGGCAGGGATACGTGGCGAACAGCGGTACTGGCTAGGCTCTCGAGCGTGTGCGCATCGCGGTGCTTCACGAGCAACCATGCACCTCTGGTGTGCAGGCTCGCTGTGAAGCCGTCCGGTGTCTGAAAAACATGCACATCAAACCAGTTACAAGCCCAATGTCTTTTCCGCAAGCCCTGTGATTCCCCACCAACACCAACACCCAGTCGAGCGTCGCTTCGACTTTGGCGCCCGTCGCCGAACATCGACGTCAACCGTCAACACCCGCTCCCCCTCCCAACCTCCCCCCTTTCCCAACACACACACACACACGCACACACACACCACTCGCCGCACACTGAGTGCGTCGAGCAGGCAAGACAGGCTTGTGGTTGACAAACAGCATGTCGTCATCATCATCATATGGCGGGCAGTCCGGAACAGCCTCGGACTCGCTCACCTCAACGTCGTCGAGCAACGGGCGCAGCGGGACATGCTCGGCGTCAGACTCGGCGACGGTCAGCACCAGTGCGTCGTCAACGGGTGAGTACTCGCGCGACGGCGAGGGCGAGGGTCTGTTCCTCAACTCAGGCGAGGACTCGCCTTACTTTGTCGGCAAGTTTGACCTCGAGACCCGCGCCAACACTACCGTCAACGCCGAGTCGCCTGCGCCGTGGTGGCTCGCATCGGACGACGACGCACTGGTGCTTGCCGCCGGCGATGGCAGACCGAACCGAAGCGGTAGCGCCCACCGGAGAAAGTCTCGCGCACACAAGGGCTCGCTCAAGGAGTCCAAGACCCGCAGGAGACGAAAGGGATCGCTGCCGCCGGAGCGGCCGAAAATGACCGCCCAGACGCTGCCTGTGGAAGAGCTGAACAAGACCTGGGTCGCCTCGCTCAAGAAGGAGAAGCGGACGCTCAAAAAGTCGCTCAAGGCCCATCTCAACAAGCGCAAGACCTCGTTCTCACCAAAGCCCGTCGACATCACCGCCGAGCTGGTCAAGCTCCGCAGGTCGGGGGCGGATCCGGTCGATCCAATGGATGTGGCGCGGACAACACCGGTCCCGCCACCGGCCATCCGGTCACCGGCGCCGCGCTCGCGCTCTCGCTCACGCTCGCGGACGCGGACGCGGCTGCACTTTTCGTCGTCATCATCGTCTGATGCGACGAGCACGTCGTCGTCAGCGGTCTCGGACTCGTCGTCCGAGCGACTGCCGCTCGTCGAGGCAACCAATCTCGACTCGTTGCCGCGGCGGTCACGCTCACGCTCACGCTCGCACTCGCGATCACGATCTCGGTCAGGCTCGCGCTCGCGGTCGGTCAAAGGCAAGAATGAGCGCCAGGCCGCGCGCGAGAAGAAGGCTGCTGCTGCCGCCGCCCGGCTCGAGCGCAAGCGGGCGCGCGCGCGGCGGCGGCGGGAGCGCAACGCGCCGAAAGACCGAGCGCGCGCAGTGGCACGGCGAGCAAGGCGGCTCGGGCATGTATGAACATACAACTAACAGCAAATGGTATGTGAAAGGCTCCGTTTACGCAGCCAGCGACGACGAGTCAGTGGACAATGTGCTCGACGACGCCCTGGCGGATGAGATGCTCGACGTCCGAGCGCCGGAGGTAGTGTGTAGAGTTGCGAGTCAAGGTGAGCTCGTCACCAGCCTCGGTAATGATGGTTCCGGCGTCCTGCACCACCCGGACCTCGATGAACAGATCCTTGGGTGGGGTGAGGTCCTCGGTCAGGTTGAGGTCGACCTCGGTCATGTAGTCGCCGAGCAGGCGGTCGTAGGCCGAGAAGAAGCCGGTCTCGAGCGCCGACGTCGCCTCGCGAACGTCGGGCGGCAGGATGGCGCCCACTTCCCAGCGCAGGTTCTGCAAGTACTGCATGCGATGGTAGTGGTATGCGAGCATGATCCGCTTGTTGCGCAGCAGCGCCGCGTGGTGAAAGATGACCGAGGCCGTCACCGACGCGTCGTTCCGTGCTGCCTCGGGACGCTCGCGTAAAATGGCCAAAACCTCGGCATGCAGGTGAATGACCTCGTCCACCGCCTTGCTCACGCTCTTAGCCCTGTACACCGGCAGCCGTGTTGCCGTCGACAGCTCCTTCAGCACCTCCAGCGCATCCGCCCCATACATCGCCACTACCAACGGCCACAGCAGCCACAGCAGCCACAGCAGCCATATCCGAGTCCAAGTTGAGCCGAGAGCCATCACCAATGCCGTTAACAATGCCCGTCACCATCGCCAATCCGCCCGTCACCGTCACCGCCCATCACCGCCCATCACCGCCCATCACCGCCCATCACCGCCCATCACCGCCCATCACCGTCATTTGCATGCCCACCAACATCCCATCCAAGCCATCCCATTGATCATGAGTATCCCCACTCCCGCCCACCTACCGCCTACCTTGCCCTCGTTGCCCTCTCTGTGGACGATTCTACCCCCCCTCCCCAGCACACACACACACACACACACACACAGCACACACAACCACACACAGCACACACAACCACACACAGCACACGCCACGTACTCGTGAATACCCCCGGCTATTAACTGGTTTGTGTTTCCTGGCTGCTGCCTCGGCCTCTGCCCCGCCTGACTGCTGCTGTTGCGTCGAGTGCCGTACCCTCCCCGCCTTGCCCCCCCCCTTCCCCCCTTCCTTCCTCTCCAACACCCAGAGGGAGAAGGGGGAAGGGGGGGGGGGGGGGAAGGGGAGGGGCTGTGATTCGCTCTGATCTGAGCTGATGACAGGCTTCTGATGCATGGCCTACAGCAGCCGCGAGCCAGATCAAGGCATCTTATTACATATGGGTGACTTGCCTGTCGCCTGTCCTGGTGGCCATGCTCGAGTCGGCGCACTGCTTGCACGCATCACCACACCGATGACCACCCCCAAGACCATTACTATCCCCCTGCCCTGCACACCCACATACTCCCCATAGGCAAGGCAAGCCCATCAGCCCACCATACCTTCCATCAAACCATCCGCAGGCAGAGAGATCATGAGGTTGGGTGCACTCGGGTTGGCGGGAATGTTCGCGCGGAATGAGCGGAGGCAGCCAGCAGGGCCAAGGGAAGGGGGGGGGAGGGGAGGGAGGGAGGGGGGGATAGACGGCACCACTCGTCTCACGGGAAGAGATAGCACAGGTGGCAGAGAGAGGGAGGAGCACGCAAGTATGGGGCTGTTGTCGATTATCAAGCAGGTGAAGATGCAGGAGAAGGAGATGCGCATCCTCATCCTTGGCCTCGACAACGCAGGCAAGACGACGGTGGTGAAGAAGATCAAGGGAGAGGCCATCGATACCATCGAACCAACGCTCGGCTTCAACATCGAAACTCTAACTCATGATGGCTTTACTCTCAATGTGTGGGATGTCGGCGGACAGAAGACCATCCGCTCGTACTGGCGCAACTACTTTGAGGCCACAGATGGCCTCATCTGGGTCGTCGACTCGGCAGATGCGCTCAGACTTGACACAACGCGTGCAGAGCTTGCTGCTCTGCTTGCAGAAGAGCGTCTCTTTGGCGCTTCGCTCCTTGTCCTCGCCAACAAGCAGGACATTGCCGGCGCCGCAGACGCGGACGCCATCGCCGCCGCGCTCGGCCTCGTCCACTCGACTGCCCAGCCTGATGCAGACGCTCTTGCCGCTGCCGATGCAGAGTCTGATGCTGAACCCGCCGCAGCCTCGAGCTCGTCGCCCGCTCCTTCCACCGGCCCGACTCAAGTCGCCGCCAAGCGCCACTGGCACATCCAGCCGTGTTCGGCCCACACCGGCGATGGCCTCCTCGAAGGCATCGACTGGATCGTCAAGGACATCGCCTCGCGCATCTACATGTTTGACTGATGCGACAACCTTGGCTCCCAACAAAAGCAACAAACACTGCCGCCGCTATGCCCATCATGGCCGCCCTTTAATCCCCACACCCCCGACCCCCCGAACCCCCGACAGACGCGGCGGCCAATGCAGTCGATCCAGCCGACACGAGCCACTTGTCGACAGCGAAGAGGGTACCAAGCGGGTTGGCGGCGGGGAGGAGAAGCTTATGTCCGAGGGAGAGTCAGGACGGAACAAGGGACGGAGCATGCCTGGTGTGGAGCCCATGGTGCGGGCGGAGCCGTCGCGTTGGCTCGAGCCGCACGGGTGGGTCTGGCTCTCGGGCGAGAATGAGTACGTCCGGGTGGCCGACACATGGCTGGCGGTGCCTGGCGGCGGCATGGCGGTCCTCGCCCACAAGTTCCGCCCGGTGGAGACGCTCAACTCGGGCAAGATGCGGAACCACATGTTCCGATGCCCATGCTGCCCGGTCACGGCTCCGCGCAATATGGGCCGCCACATCAAGACCCATCACATTAGAAACAACCGCCTGGTCATCACCGATCACGAGCATCATCTCCTCGATCCCACACCCACCACCGCCGGCAAGTCCAAGACCTCCTCGCACGACATCCTGCTGTGTGTCGAACAGGCTCGTGCACTCGCCGGCTTGCCCACCGCGGCTCCGTTGCCGCAGCGCCCGTCGCTTCATCTCGACACGTTTCCGTTTGACCTCGCCTTTGACGACGAGCCCGTGCCTGTCCGCGCCAGCCATACTCCGGCCTCGCTCTCGGTCACGCCCATTCCCTCCATGGAGCTCTCGCTGGCCCGTGGCTCGGCGTCATCGAGTGCTCCACCGTCTGGCCTCTCGGCCTCGGCCTCGACGTCGACGGCCTCGCACGCCGCACCGCCGCACTCGTCGCTCCTCCTCGACTTTCACGATCTGGATCCGCTCTTCAAGTTTGGCGATCACTCGGCGCTGCCGCGCGGTCTCGCATCCATGGGCTATCCGACCGAGGCGCCGCCGGTGGACTGGACCTTCTCGGCCGAGCTGGATCCGCTGCCGCTGGCCATGGCCACTGTCCCGTCGTCGCCGGGCGAGCCGACCTTTGACGCGCCCGAGACAAGCCGGTTTGTCGACGCCTCGCGCCCGGGTGAGCTTGCATCCGCTCTCGACCGCATCGCGTCGGGCGCCGGACATGCACAGAGCCCAGTCCGGGTGCGACTGACAGCGTCGCAGCCGACTGTCCGCGCGCGTGTGGTTGTTGCCGTCGCACGCGCTGTTGCCGCATCGGGTGCCACGCTGGAGGCTATCTCGTCGCAGCTGGCGGGCGACTCGCGGCGGATGTATGTGTGCGTCGACATCGGCCCGCCACTTGCCCGCCCTGCCGCGCTTGCCGCCGCGCTCACCAGCATTGCGGCCGGCAATCTGGAGGCAGACATTGTGCCGCAAGAGCCGCCGCTACCACCGCCGGCCATCCTCGTACTACAGCGGTACGTGCTGGCCAAGACCTGCAGCGACGGCGCGCTTGCGCACTTTGAGGCTCTGCATGCCCGGTGTGCCGCGCTCCTCGGTTGCGTCTCGGCCAAGCTGTGGCTCGAGCCGGCGCCCGGTCCGCACGCGAACGACGATACGCCGGCCAGCTACGTGCTGCTCTCTAGCTGGCGCTCGCGGAGCGCGTGGCAGCGATGGCTCGCCCAGCACAATGCCTCGCTCCTCCCTACCATTGCGCAAAGCCTTGCCGGCCCGGTCGAGACCCGCATTCTCAACTCGGGCAAACGCAAGCGCAGCGCCGACAGTCTCTCGCCTGCCGGCGGCCTCCTTGACGACGGCTTGCTGCCACCCGGCAAGCGGCGATCGCTGCTCCCACATCTGTAGCTGGTAATTGATTCACAAGCACAAACTCTATACACACTTTCAGCTCAGGCGCGCGGACGACCCGTCGACGGCCGCGGCTTGGACGGTGGCCGCGGGACGAGTGCGTCGCCGGCCCCAGCAGCCTGGTGCGTCGTCGAGGCTGCTGCCGCCGGCTTGACTGCCGACGCTCGTCGCCGTGGCGCAGCGACAATCCGCGGCGAGGGCGGCTCGGCCGAGGCCTTTGGTCCGGCGGGTGCGACGGGTGCGGCGTGTGCGGCCGGTGCGGCTAGGTCGCTAGCAGGGCCAGCTGGGCGGGCATGCTTTCCGGCCTGCGAGCGGAGGATGGAAGCCCGGAGACCACCGCCGGCAGCGCCGGCTGCGGTCGAGGGGCGGATGGTGGAGCGGTTGGAGCGGATGATCTTGGACACCAAGTGCTCGCGGACAGTGAGCGGGGTCTCGTCGCCGGACTCGGCGTCGTCGATGGTGAGCGGCTCGACGGGCGGCATGGGCATGTTGGTGGTAGCAGCAAGGACGCGAGCGGAACGGGTGTTGAGCTCGTCGATAACCCGGTCGATCTCCTCGAGTGTCAGCTCGGGATTCTCGCGGATCATCCGATGGATCTCTTCGCGGGCGTGCTCAAACTCGAGGCCGTTGAGCTTGAGCTGCTGCCGGAGGTTGTACTGGTCGACGCGACGCTTCTCGATCTGCACCAGCTTGTTGGCAAACGAAGTGGTGACTGCCTGGCGCTGCTGCCAGCGGCGCTCCTCGAGCGTTTTCATCCGCTCTTGCTGGCGGGCCTTGGCGGCCTGGACGCGGTCGACGTGGCGGGCAACCCGCTCACGGCGGGCGGCCATGCGCGCCGACTTGCGCCGCTCAGCGGCGTCGGTCCGTGCCTCCAGCGAGGCAAGCAGGCGCTTGTTGCGCTCCTCGGCAAAGCGAGCAATGGCCTGCTTCCGTTCCGCCATCGGCATGTCGTCCGGCAGCTGCAGCGCATCATCCTCGAGGTCAAAGCCTGAGTTCTCGGTCGAGCCCGGGTGCCCGCCCTGGGCGTCGCGGATCCGCCGCAGCGTCATGTTCTTGTAGTGCTTGAGCTTCTCGTTCCGCGCCAGCTGCTTGAGATACCGGAGCGAGGCCCAGCGGCGGCGTTGAATCTGCGCAATGTCAATCGGCCGCGGCGAGCGGGTGTAGCAGGGCGAGCGTGGGCCATGGCGAACAAAAGGACTCGCTTGGGGAGGAGCATCTGGATTTCGTCGGGCACCACGCCCGACGGTGCCGCTGGATCGTGGCTCCCAGGCAGCGGCGCCCGCCCGTGCCGCCCGTGCCGCCCACGGACCGACGCCCGAACCTGCTTGTTCCGCTCCCTGCCGGTCTGGTTCTCGGCCTCGATGTGCCGCGAGAGCATGGTGTGGAGGACCGGATTCGAGTCTCCGTGGGCATGCGCGTCGCGGACGTGGATGTCGGTGACGACGCCGTCGCGGCCGCCTGTCGCCAGCGACATGACAACACCGGCTGTGCTTGGCCGCCGGGAGCCCAGCCCGGCCTCGCGCCGCTCCTTGCCGGCGCTGCCCGTCCGGCCTGACGAGGTCCACACTCGCGACGTGGTCGAGCCGAGGACGCCGCGGCCAAACATGGCGTCGCCGTAGTCGTCCGAGAGCCGGAACTTGATCAGCCTGCCGTTGCGCGGCTCGTCGCCGCCACCAGCCCCGCCGCCACCGCCGCCCTTTCGCGACCGCGCGGTCTCATCGCCGCGCCCGCCGCCATCGCCGCCATCGCCGCCATCGCCTCCGCCGCCCGCAGGCTCGGCCAGCGACGCCCCTGAGCCGCCTCCGCGCACAACGCGCGACTTGCTCTTGCGCATGGTCGCCGACCTGTTCCGCGACGAGTTGAGCTTTCCTCGTGACGCTGCCGGGTGCATGGCCAGCTCTGCGTCGGTGCGAGTGCGGTGGGTATGGCCGTGGCCGCGGCCGTAGTCGTGGTCGTTGCCGTGGGGCAACAGTGCTCGGTGAGGCAGTTGGAGCCATCGATGAATGCCATGCTAACATATTGATGAATGCCATGCTAACACATCGATGAATGCCATGCTAGCACATCGATGAATGCCATGCTAACACATCGATGAATGCCATGCTAACACATCGACGATAACCATTGACGAGACTCACTTGGTATCGCAAGCCGTAGATCCCCCTCCCCCCTGCTCCCCCCCCCCCCCCCCCTCCCCCTCCCCCCCCCCCTCTCTGGCTAGTGCGGCAAACAACTCGTTGCCACCGCCGACCTGCCCTCATTCGAGCAGACTTTTCTTCGTCCGGAGGTGCGTTACGAAATGCGGGCGACGTTCCCTAGCTACTGGTGCAGGAGGGGAGGGGAGGGGGGGGGAGGGGGGGGGGAGGGGGAGGGGGGGAGGGGAGCAGGGAGAGGGATCTGTCGGTGCTGCTAGTGGTGGTGGTGGTGGTGGTAGTCACCCAGGGGGGGGACTTGCACCTGGGCGGTGGTGGCGGTGGCGGTGGCGGTGGCGGTGGTGGTGACGGTGGCGGTGACGGTGGCATGAGGTTGTCGCAGTGGTGCCAGCAAGTAAATGATCCTTTTTGGTGGTGCGGGACGGGGACGGCAAGGAGAGAGGCGAGGGCGGGAAGGGGCGGGAAGGGCAGGGTCGAGTCGGGTCACTTACAGCTGGAGGAGGAGAGGGGGGTTAGATTGAGGATGACGAACAAGGCAGCAGCATTAGCTGCTGTAATGCTGGTGCTGGCCCTTGCGGGGCTTGGGGCGGCCCAGACGGGACGTGGCCACTTTAGCCTGCGTCACATCGAGAGTGCTGATACGGTGCATCTGCGGACGGGCCCGATTGTGACGACCAAGCACGCGCCGTCGCTGGAGCTGCGGTCGTCGGTGCATGCGGCGCGGGCTGTGGCTAATGTGCATGGCCACTCTGACGGGTACGGCCAGTACCTTGTCCATCACGTTGGGCCAGTGACGCCCGAGTCGCGCGCGTCTGTCGAGACGCACCTCTCGTCGGGCTCGATGGCGTACTTTCCGCACAATACCTGGCTTGTGGTGGCGACTGCCGAGGAGATGGCCGCGATCTCGCACGAGCCCGTGGTCCTCTGGATCGGCGCGTACAAGCCCGAGTACCGGATGCACCCGCATGTGACCGACGTGGTGATGGCGCGGGCGGCGACCAAGGCGTGCACCTCGGAGCACGTGCTCCTTGCCGACGTCCACTACGAGCTTGTGGAGGCCGGCACGGTCGACATCCACGAGGTGGCGGCCGAGGTCTCCGCGCGCGTGGCGGCCGAGGTTCCTGGTGCGAGCGCGCAGGCTGCGGGCTCGTCCCTGGTCAGCATCTCTGTCCCGTGCGGCTCGCTCTCTGCGGCAGCTGCGGCGACCGCCAGCCATCCGCTGGTCCGGTGGGTGGAGAACCGCGAGGTGTTTGAGACCAAGAACGAGTACGCCAAGCCGCTGACGCAGACGTTCCAGTCGAACCCGACGTCGACGGCGGCCAAGCCGTTCTACTCGCTCTCGCCGCCGCTCGACGGGACTGGCCAGGTTGTGGGCGCGGCCGATACCGGGCTGGACACCTCCAACTGCATGTTCTCGGACACGACGGTGACAACGCCTTACAACACGGTCAACACGGCCCACCGCAAGGTGGTGCAGTACATCTCGGCGCAGACGAGCCAGTCGGAGACGTTTGAGGACGAGACCGGTGGCCACGGGACCCACGTCGTGGGCTCGATTCTGGGCAACCCTCGGAGCGGCGCGACCAACGCTGGGGCGATCACCAAGTACTCTGGCATGGCGTACAACGCCAAGGTTGCCTTCTACGACTTTGGCATCTCCGGTGGCCGGCTGTTGAGTGTCTCCGCCAAGGACGACATCTTCCCGCCGGCTTACGACTCGGCCAACGCCCGCATCCACTCCAACTCGTGGGGCGCGGTCAACGACCCGGGCGCATACACGCTCTCGTCGCAGGGCGTCGACGAGTACACCTGGGCGCGCAAGGACTTCCTCCCGCTCTTTGCCGCCGCCAACGATGGCTCGGAAGGCCTCACCTCGGTCCGGGCCCCGTCGACGTCCAAGAACTGCATCTCAGTCGGCGCGTCTATGAACGCGTGGGAGGCCGAAGCCGACAAGATTGTCCGCACTGAGTTTGACATCAGTATTCCTGCAGGCTCGACGACGGCATACATTGCCGCCTTTGGCGCCCGCTCGTTCAACTCGCCGCTCACGGGCACCTACTACTCGGCGCAGACCTCGTGCTCGTCGGCCTCTTCGTCGGCCTCTGGCAAGATTGCCCTCGTCTCCGTCACTTCGGCCTGCGACGTGACCGTCCAGGCCAAGAACCTGCAGGACAAGGGTGCCATTGCCGTTGTCTTCTTCTACCCCTACACCCGGCTTCCGGGTGAGTCGTCGACAGTCACCATCCCGGTGGTCTCGGTCGCCGAGTCGCTCGAGTCGGACTTCCGCGGTGCTGATGGGGCGTCGGGTACCATTTCCAAGCAGTCGTCGCCCAACTACTCGAGCGACTTGTCCAAGGGCAAGAACAACATGGCGTGCTTCTCGTCGCGTGGACCTACGCTCGACGGCCGGTACAAGCCAGACATGACTGCGCCGGGTGACCCGTCGCTCTCGGCGTACTCGAACGGAGCGTCGAACACCGAGATCTGCGGTGATGAGGCAATCTTCCCCATGTCGGGCACGTCGATGGCGACGCCGACGCTTGCCGGCGTTGCTGCCCTCGTTCGCCAGTACTACGTCGACGGCTACCACCCGACCGGGTCGGTCGTGTCCGCCAACCGCATGGCGTCGCCGACGGCGGCTCTGATCAAGGCCACGCTCCTCACGGGTGCCATCGGACACACCGGCCGGGTCGACACCAACTCGGACTGCTCGTCGTCAGGCACGAAGCGCAACTTTGCGGACATGTCGCGCGAGGAGAAGCGCTACTACGAGGGCTACGGCCACGTGCAGCTTGACCAGGTCTTGGTTCAGTCGTCGGGCTCCCGCAAGACGGTCGTCTTTGACGAGAAGACCGGGCTCACCACCGGCAACGCCAAGCGCTTTTGCTTCACCGCCGGCTCGACGCTCGACTTCCGGGCCACGCTCGTGTGGACCGATGCGCCGGGCTCGGCTGCGTCGACCAGCGCGCTTGTGCAGGACCTCGACCTCTCGGTCGTGTACGGCACAAACACCGTGGTCATGGGTAACGAGAAGATCGATACCAAGTCGAACAAGCCCATTGTCGACGGCACGAACAACGTCGAGCAGGTGACCGTTGCTGGCTCCTCGGTCACGGGCTCGATCGGTGTCACTGTCGCCGCGTACAACACGCCGCAGGGTGCCCAGCCGTACGCGCTCGTTGTCACCGGTGACAACGTTGCCGCCGCCGCCGACACGGCCTGCTCCTCGCTCTGCCCCGCGGGCTGTTCCTCGCAGGGCACGTGCCAGAACGGCCGCTGCAAGTGCAACGCCGGCTTTGCCGGCGCTGACTGCTCCATCTCGGTCACGCCCATTACCGTCGGTGCTGCCAGCTCGGTCTCGGCCTCGCTCAACACCGACGGCTGGATGTTCTACTCGTTCTCCCCCGACACCTCCACGGGTCTCGACGTCAAGTTCACCGTCTCGGTCTCCCAAGGCGTCCCAGTCTTTATGGCCGAGTCCGGCGAGTACCCGACCTTTGGCTCGGCGTCGGACGTGCTCAACTGGTGCTCGTCGTGCTCACAGTCGACCGTCGATGGCTCGCGCTCTCGCTCGGTCACCTTCTGGGTCCGCAAGGAGAACCTGGTCACCGGCACGCAGCACTACGTCGGCGTCTACGCCTACCCTTACGCCAAGTACTCGTACTCATCGTCCTCGGTCTCGCTCTCCTTCACCACCGAGTACGCCGAGTACACCGGCGCTGCGGCCTCGTCGGCCCCCGCCCTCTGGGCCGTCGCCCTCGGCGCCCTCGTCGCCCTTGCCATGGCGATCATGGCGTAACTCTACAGTCAACTGTTGTACTTCAAACAAACAATTTTCCTGCACCATCGTGTGGCGTGCTTGGGCATGCAGGTTGTGGTGCGCCTGCTGGGTGCGCGGCGGGTGGTGGCGTCAGGCGTCGGGCGCCGGCCACTTGTCGCTGCCGGAAGGGCAAGAGCAGTCACCCAAGCAAGACATATGCGAGCAGAAGAGGCTGCGTGGTTTGTGGTAGTGTCTGCGCTGTGGGGCATGACCAATCCGCTGCTCAAAGCCGGCTCCAAGGGGTATGCCCGGCGAGCAAGTGAGGGGAAGCGAGAGAGGGAGGGGAAGAGCCGGTGACTCACCGGCGATCGGGGGGCGTACTGGGTCGGCGATCGGGGGCACCGGGGGGGGGAGGGGAACAGAGTCGAAGATGTGGCGCCGTACGGGTGGGCTGGTCCGCTCGGTGGCTGGCTGGCGCAGACGGTGTTTCTCCTCACCCGATGGCAGTACGTGGTCCCGTTTGCGGCCAACCAGGGCGCGTCAGCGCTGTTTCTCTACTCGCTAGGCGCAGCACCACTCTCGGTTGCTGTTCCGCTCACCAATGCCCTCACGTTTGCCTTTACCGCCGCCACGGGATGGGTGCTGGGAGAGAAGATCAGCGACACGCCGATGCTGACGGCGGTCGGCATGGCGATGGTGTGCGCAGGCATTGCGGTGAGCATCACAGCGTGAGGTTGGCTCACGAGCGGGTGCCACGGCCAAAGTATGACGTCGATGCTGCAAGCAGCATATTATCGGCAATCAATGACGTGGGTTGGATGGTCATGTACGGCGTCGATGACGCGGCCTCGAGCAGCTCGGCAGGCGACTCGAGAATCGACGAGAGGCTGGTGTTGTTCGACAGCGATGGCAGCGCCGACGATGGTGGCGACGACGAGCTACCGCGGCCAGATCCGCTAGTCGAACTGACGAGCGGAGTATCGTCGATGTGGCCGGGCGTCGAGTGCGCGTGCGGGAAAGCTCCCCACCGTAATTGACCTGGGTCTGTGGCATGCCCAGCGCAGAATTGCGGCGAGCCGCGCCCGAGTAGAGGTCGCTTGGCACATGGAGCGACAACAGCATCGTCGGCGACAGCACCGAGGCTGCGGAGACTTCCAGCGAATGTGTGCCCTCCTCCTCCTGCTCCTCCGATGACGACAAGTGACTCAACTTCACGGCGGCTGCAGAATCCCGATCACGGTGGTCCTCGGCCATAACCTGCGGCATGTCTGCCACCGAACTGGACGGCGTGTTCGGCGAGATGTGGAGTGAGGGCAGAGCGGCCGACAAGGAATTCAGGTTCCCGCTCGCGCTCGCACTTGTCATAAAGCCGTTTGCACTCTCGCTCCACGACGCGGTCTTCAGCGACTCGTGCGTAACGTGGATGGGAACGGCAGCAGGAACAGGCTGCTGTGGGCTTGTCATGGGCGCCAGCGGATGATGGGCAAGCGCATACGGGTGGTTGTAGGCAAGCGCATGTTGATGGCCATGGACGAGGGAATGCGGGTGGCTGTAAGCGTGCGCATGCCCATAGCGATGAACGTGCGCATGGCCATGGCGATGAACGTGCGCGGTCGCCTGGCGATGAACGTGCGCGGTCGCCTGGGCCTGGGCAGCCGCCTCGGCTTGGGCAGCCGCTTCGGCTTGGGCAGCCGCTTCGGCTTGGGCAGCCGCTTCGGCTTGGGCTTGGCGTGGCTGCAGGAGGGCGGCAAGGTGGGCCTGCTCGGCTGCAAGGCCAGCACGCTCGGCAGCCACCATCTCGGCCATGGCTGCCTGCTCAGCTAGCAGCATCCGCTCGTAAGCCGCAAGCTCACGAGCCATCTGCTGGACGGCGGCGGCAAAGCCCATGGCGCCAGCCGCCGCTCCCGAGTACAGCACCTGCCCCTCGCCTGCTGCAGACATGTGCGACCGTCTCCACAGACAAAGAGTCGCGTGTGTCCGTCTCTCGGTCAAGACCTGCCCCCGTCTCGCCAACTACCCGTCCCCCCCTTCCCTGCGTCCCCAAGCTGCCCACCCGACGCGCGTGAGCGCCACACGGGAGAACGCTTGTTTGTGAGTTTTTTTTTGGTCACTTTGGGCCAGCCCGCAGTTGGCAGAAGCACCGCTAGCAGTCGTGGGCTATGTCATCATCCTCCATCGCTACATGCGTTGGTACAGCGGCTTACATGACATGGGCAGGCAAGATATGATGCTTGTGAGAGAAGGTGTGCGGGTATGGGAGCACGGCTGCCGTCTGTGGCGAGAAAACGGACGGTGACCAGACGGCATCTTGCGCTTGCAACGACGGTCACGCCGACTTTTCCCGCTCCTACGCCAGCTGAGAGCAGCGAACAAGCATGCCCCCTGTCCTAGAGCAGGAGCAAAAGCAGTACCGCATGTGCAACTGTGTAGATTCGGGCTAGACAAGGCATCCGCGCCAGTTGAAGCCGACAACAGTATCGAGCTGACATTGCTGATATTTTTTTCTCGGCAGACAAGCTCCAGCTCCGCAGCTCGTCCAATTGCCGGCGAATGGGAAACCAGCAACGAAACGGCGCCCATCCCGCGCAGCCTCTGCCGCAGTTGATGAGCAACGCGTTCCGAAGGCGAAAGACCCGACTTGTGGTAGTAGGGCAGGGCAGGCGCGGACGAGTTGGACGGAACCATGGCGTTCTCACCGCGGTCGCCGTACTCGCCGACGCTGCCGCGGTTCTCACGGTCCAACTCGGCGGTGCTGGACATGACGTCGTCGGACGAGAGTGAGTGCCTGCTGGCCACGCCGCACGCCAACGTCCCTGCGCTGGACACGCCTTCTCTGCTTGATCACTACTCGCCCGGCTCGATATACACTTCGGCACACTCCCGCCCGCCGCTGCACTCGCTTACCGCCTCGCCGGGTGCCCCGTCGCCCATCCGCATCGGCACGCGCCACGAGCCCTCGTTGCGTCTGTCGTCGCCGCCTCCGCTGGCCGTCCCGGGCGCTCCCATCTTGCTGATCTATGCATTTGCCGCCGCCCTGACCGTGCGGTACGTGGAGTCTGGTGCTGCTGCCGGCGGGAGCCTCCCCGAGACCGGCGGCGAGGTCGATGCGCTGTCAGGCGTGCTCCGACGGCACGGGCCGGGCGTGGCGGTCCAGATGGCGGTGGCGGCGGTGGCGCATCTGCTGTGGGCGCGGCACTGTGCGCTGCTTCCCGGTGCGGTCTTTGGCTCATCGCCGATTACCACGCTCACCTGCATGGTGCTCGCCGCGGGCCTTGCGCTCCTGCCGCCGTCGGCGGCGCTGGTGGCGCGGTCGTCATACGGCCGCGAGACGCTGGCTGCCGCCGTCTTCTCAGCAGCGCTCACCGCAGTTCTCGCCGCCGGCCTTGCGCTACATCTGCTGCACGCGCCGGCTTCACGGCCGATGCCACTGTATGCGCTTGCCGAGCTTGTAGTGGCGGCTGTCTTGCTGGTCCTCAACGCCACGTCGGTCCTCACCTTTCCTTGGGCTTGGCTGGTGATCCTCGGCCTTGCCTTGGCGTACCCTCTGGCAGGGGCGGCACTGTCGCAGACGCGGGCGGTGCGATTTCGCCCGCTTCTTAGCGCGGCTGAGGGCCAGACGCTGGTGACGGCGGCGGCGCGGGCCCTGGGCCTGCACATGGACGCCGTCTACGCACTCACGGCGCTGATGCCTGTGCTAGACGTCGCCGTTCCGCCCTCAGGCTCGCCGCTGGCGGGGACGCGAGCCGGCCTCGAGCAATTTGTCAAGGACCAGACCCGCCCGCTCTTGGGCTATCTCTTGGCGTGCGTGCTGATATGCCTGTTGTGGATGCGGTCTGCAGCGCACCGGCGGGCGCTGGGCGGGCGGGGCGCGAGCCTCGCGGTCATCGCCGCTCAGCTTGGCACAGTCACGCTCGCTGTTCCGGTCTCATTCTTTGCGCGGCTGGTGCTCGCGCCGCCGTGTGCTGCCCTTAGCGCTGTATACCTCGGCGCTGCGGTCTGCGTTGCGGCACTTGCTGAGCTCGGCGTCTTTATGGCTGTCCGCTGGCGAACAGCTCGTGAGCGAGGCAGCAATGGACTCAATGATGTGCAGCGGATGGCGTCGCGCGCGCTCAACTACGACTCGATACCGGTGAGCACAGTGCAGACTCTGAAGCGCACAGTCAAGCGACGGGTGGTAGAAGAGGCGGCGCTCCCAGTCTCGGGCCTGGTTGTTGCGCTCCTGGCACTGGTTGTCCGACCCGAGGTGGCGGTTGTTGGCTTTGTAATTGGCCTCGCCTCGCTGTCATGAAGCGAGCGAGGCGCGGACGAGGGCGCGCAGCGCGTCGTGCGAGGCTGACAGCTCTGAGAGCGCCGCCATGAGCTTGGCGTTCTGCTCGCGGAGCTTAACGTTTTCTTCGAGCAAGGCCTCAATGCCACGGGTTTCCATGCCCGCGGCAAGGCCACACTCGCGGAGTGCGTCGCGAAGGCGCGAGACTCGCTCAGCGTCGCGGGCAGGAGACGACGGAGACGGCAGCAGGGCGTCCAGGGACGGCGAGGCTGCTGCATCCGGTGCCGCCATCGGCATCGCTGAGCTTGTCCCGGTACTTGCAGTGATCGGAAGCTCGACTAGGACGGCCGAGTCCGAGTCGGCGACCAAGAGCGAGCCTGTGAGCGGGTTAAAGACCAGCGCCGAGGGAAAGGCGAGCGGCGGCGAGGCGAGCGTTGTCACCGCAGCAGTAAAGATCGAGAGCGAGCGGACGACGTCGTTGAGCTCGGAGACGTAGACTGCCGCAGTGGCCGGGTCGTACGCAAGCTTGAGCGGAAAATTGAACAGCGCCTCGTCGGCCGAGCCGTCGACGTGCCCAGCAGCACCGGTGCCAGCGAGGGTAGTGAGGACGCCACGGAAACCCGTGGGCGCACTAGCATCGGCCTCCAGATGCAGCGAGCGCAGTGCGTGGTTGTATGTGTCAGCCAGGACGTAGTTTGCGCCATCTAGCGCCACAATAGACTCGGGCCGATGCAGGGCGCCGGCGAGCTGGTGCGAGGTCGAGTCGGCAAAGCCCGGGTGGCCCGAGCCAGCGACGGTGGTAACCTTGCGGGCGGCGACGTCGACCAGAACTACAGCGGCAGCCTCCGCCACCAGCAGCCACACTCGCCCCCCGGCCAGCTCCTTGTCGACAACCGCCAGCGCCCGCGGCTCGCGGAGTGATGCCTCGTCCAGCGAGCGCCATGCGTTACCGGGCGGCGGCAGAGGCGGCGGGGCAGCCGAAGGCGGGGCAACGACTGCGATGGCGACCTCGGATGGGGAGAATCCGGGAGACGACGACGTTGATGGTAGCGGGAGGCGCACCAGGGCGCCAGTCACCACATCGGCCACATACACGGCATCACCAGCAGGAGCCAGAGCTAGAGCCGCCGGCGCAGCAAGCGGAGCCGAGGCTGGCGAGAGACGAAAAGGGGAAGCTGGGGCTGGCAGAGGTAGACGGCTTCGCCAGCAGCAACCACCACTCCAGATGGGCTCCATACCACGTCGCGCAGTGGAGGTGGACACCCGGTGTGCATGGTGGAATGGGGTGGGGTAGGGGTGCAGGTGGGGGGGGTGGAGGCGGAGGTGGCGGGGAGAGGGGGGAAGGGGGGGAGGGAGCGAATGGCGCGATTTGGTTGGGGTTGGGGGGCTGAGAGATGGGAGGGGGAAGGGGGAGGTCAGGGGAGGGGAATGGGGGGGAGTCAGTGCAGAGAGAAAGGCGTGGTGGCGTGTGTGTGGTGATCGGGTGGTAAAGAGAGGGATCGAGTGCATGATGGGCGCGGGCGGAGAGAGACGGGGGGGGAACTGGGGGTACGGGGGGGGGACAGGTTGATCTGAGTGATCATGCATTTCGCAGCAGACAGAGCAAAGATGGTGACATAGTAAACATCATGCGACACTCTGGGGCAAGCAGAGGATGGGTATGGATGGATGGATAGATGAATGGTGGATGGGCGGGCGGATGAGATGGGATGGTGCGTGTGGTGGATATTAGGGCCAGGCAATCAACGTGGTGTGCACAAGGCGTGGTGGTGTGTGTGTGTGTGTGTGTGTGTGTGTGGAAGAGGTGTTCATGGTGTGATAGAGAAGGATGGCAGATGGGATGGTACAGCGCAGAGCCGATGCCATAGATTGATGAGGAGCGAGAACAATGATGATGTCGAGATGGAAGCAGATGTGTGGAAGCCAAGCTGGTGACGTCGGTCGGTTCGGAGCCGCACAGGCACGGCGAGAGGCAGGAGCCGGAGGTGCTGCACTGGGGGTTGAGCGGCGGCGTTGATCCGAGGGTGGCGCGACTTGGGGTTGGACTACGAGTTGACGGCAAACTTGTGGTCGCACTCTGTGCAGTGGTAGAAGATGGTCTGACCTTCATCGGCTGATCGGAGCTGTGCGGTGTGGAAGAGCATCTGCGGGGCGTTGCACTCTGGGCAAGGCTCGTCGATGCGAGCCTTCTGGGCGTCCTTGTCGATGCCCTTGCGACGAAGAGCCTCTGCACGCATGCCCGTAGGTGCCACGTTGACAGCGGTGACGACCTGCTCCGCAGCGATCTCTGTGCGTGTGCGTGCGTGTATGTGTGTGTGTGTGTGGGGTGGATGGCGGTGCGGTGGGCGTGTGAGGCAGAGTGTGGGGAGGAGGAGGAGGAGGGATGGGGGGGATGGGCCTGGCAGGCGGGACAGAGTGTGTGGAGGGGAGGGCGGGCATGGGACGGGCGGATGAGGGGAGGGCGACGTACCGCGGATGGGCTTCTTGAAGCCGCACAGGCCGCACATCATAAAGGTGTCGGAGGGGCGGGGCGGAAAGTACATATTGTGGCATTGTGGGCAGAAGCGGGTGGCGAAGAACTGGTCCATGATGTGATGCGGCGGTGATGGGAGAGAGGAGAGTCGACGGGAACAGGCGGGGAAGAGAGACAAGGTACAAGGACGCGCTTCAAAAGGAGACTGTTATGGGCGACATGGCAGGCTCACACGCGGGGAGGAAGGGGGTCTGGATAGATAGGTTAATCTACAGCAGAGAGGGCTCGAAGGCTCGACGAACGCTTAGTTGGTCGGGTACGAGGCGGCGTTGAGGATGCCGCAGGTGTTCGGGCCGCGGGCAAGCTGGATGTAGCCAGCCTGGCCCCAGCCAGTGCCCCACGAGTTCTTGACGAGGTAGTAGTCCTGGCCGTTGGACGAGCCGTAGCCGGCAGCGAGAACACCGTGGTCGAGCTGGGTGCCGCACGACGAGGCCGGGAAGATACCGTTCGAGTACGACATCCACGACGAGGCATCAACAGCAACGGAGACCGGCTGCTGGGCAATGGCGGACATGAGCGAGTTGGTCGACGAGTCGACGTTCTTGTAGCCCGAGATCGAAGCGACCGACTTGCAGTCGGACTTCTTGCACGTGCCGTCCTGGGCGGTGTAGCGGTAGTCGTCCCACGAGCAGAGGCCACCGTTCTGGATCACCCACTGGAAAGCGTTATCCATGAGGCCACCGTTGCAGCCGTCGTCACGCGAGTCGCAGTCGACGAGCTCCTGGGGGGCGAGCGAGGTGAGGCCGTGGCCGGAGATGGCCATGAGGCCCTCAATCGAGGCGCAGGTCGAGAAAGCCCAGCACGAACCGCACTGGCCCTGGTTCTTGACCGGGGTGACACCGCCCTTGGTAACCCAGTTGACCGAGGTCGGGAGGTCGAGGACGTCACCGTTGAAGGTGTGCACGCGGCCAGCCGAGGTCGGGTTGGGCTTGTACGACGAGAGGTACATGGCCTCGAACTCGTGCTGGGTGAGGTCCGAGAACTGGTTCACGGCCATGGTCCAGGTGTGCTTGCCGGCGGCATGCTCGGCGTTGTGGCGGTTGATCTTGTCGACGTTGGTCTTGAAGATGATGTAGCTGCAGGGGGGGTGGGGGTGCCATGAGTGGGGGGGGGCGGGGCGGGTTCTTCCAATGAAAATGATGGCGACGGCTTGTGCGACCGAAAAAGCGGCAAAGTCACGTGCGGCCATTGCACAGCCGACGTGGTGAAGGAAAAGGGCTGCAGGACACGAGCGAGAGAGATAGGAGAACGGGATGAAGCGGGAAGAGCACACGGTGGAGCTGGGGAGGTAGAGATGGCGGGGGAAGGAGCCTGCGGGGCGGTGGGGGAAGCCCGCGAGGTGCGACGGTGGGCGGCAGCCGTCAGCGGAAAGCGTTTTTTCGCGTGACTTTGTCGTCAGCGCGCACGCCAGCATGGCGAGGTTCTGCGGAGGGAAGGAGAAGCAGGACACGTACCGGAAGGGCTCCTCGGCGGCCGAGTAGGTCTTCTCGTGGGTGGCCTTGAAAGACTCGAACTGAGACTGGTAGAGCGACTCCGAGAGGTGGGTCGGGTGGGCGGCAAGCGCCACAGCGGCAAGCGCAGCAAGAACAACGAGGGTCTTGTACATAATTGCAGTTGAATGTACCGCGGGAAAGTTTGTTCCCTCGCACGCGACAGAGCGCGTGACCCGATCGGAGCGAGTCGAGCAATCGGGTGGGGGATCGAGTCGAGCAAGAGGGGGGGGGGGAGGTGGGGAGAGGATTCATTGACAAGCGGCAGCGGACGAAGCTTACTTCTTGACGGGAGCAAGGATGGTCTCGAGCTGCGACTTGAGCTGGGCATTAGTGCGCTTGAGGAAGGCAACCTCCTCAGCGTGCTTCTTCTCCTCGAGCGCACGGCGGTCCGACTCGCGCTTCTCGATGGCCTCGATCTTGGCCTTGAGCTCCTGGACGGAGCGGGCGAGGTCGCGGTTCTCGTCCTCGAGGCGCTCGATGGTCTCCTCCATCTCGGACTTGCCCTGCTGGGCCTGGAGAGCCTTGCGCATGCCAAAGGCGACGGACGACTCGTACAGGGTCTGGTAGGCCTGGATGGTGAGGCGGATCTCGTCGCGGACGCGGAGGAGGAGCAGGCCGCGCTCGGCCGTGTTGATGGTGACCTGGCGGATGAGCTCGTCAAAGCACTGGTCGTACAGCTGGCGGCGGACGGGGCAGATGCCGGTCTCGCGGGCCTTGCGCTGCTGCAGTCGCAGATCAAGCTGCTCCTGCAGGTTGATGACGTCCAGCCGGGTGGCTGGCGTCGACGAGACCTTCTGCAGCCAGAGCTGGCCCTCGTCCTCAAACTCGGTCGGCGGCAGAATGGCGTTGAGAATGTCCTCGGTCTGCTGCGTCTTGGACGACGCTCCAGCTGCCGCTGCCGCTGCTACCGCCGCGGCCTTGCCCTTGCGGCCACGCAGGTGCCGTTCCTGCGACTTGGACACCAGCACAGGGTTCTCATACTTGACCAGCGACTGGGCGAGCGCCATGCTGGGAGGGAGGGGCGGGGGAGGTTGACGGGGGAGGGTACGGAAGGTGGCTGTTTCTGCGCAACGGGCGGGTGTTGAGCTAGGGTGAGGTTGAAGGTGAGAGTGAGGGTGTGGGTGTGGTGGGAGGGGTGGGGGTAGCTATGGCTACGGTGCCGGGAGTAGCCGTGGCTGTTGTCGGGCGGTGTCTGGCTTGGCGCTTTTGGCCCGGCCGCGCAACGGTTGGCGGACGGGCCATGGCGCGGGCGAACCGCGACCTTTTTGGGGACGCCTGATGTCAGTCGCCGCCCCAGCACGACCGCCACGACGTGTACCTGGCACACACCGCTCTACTCTTCAAGGAGGGGGAATGGAGGCGTGGGAGATGAGGCTGGACAGTCTATGCGACGCGCTGGGAGAGCCTGCGTCGCAGCTGGGTGCCCTGCTGGGTCTCATCGACGCGCTGGTGCTGAGCGGGCCGAGGGGGTTGGCGGTGCCGGGCCCGCTTGCAGCCAAGCTTGCGGGACGAGTGCTGGGCCTTGTGCGGCCTGGCCCGCCCGAGCTACTGGGGCGGACGTACGCGGCGGTGATTGTGGCGCCTGCGTTGGTGCAGGGGCTGTACTCGCGCGGGCTGGTCGGCTATATCCACGACGAGCTGGCGGGGTGCGCAGGCGCACTGGCGGTCATCCTTGCCGACGCGGCGCTGTTTCGGGCGGTACCACTGATGCAGCTCTTTGCGCTCGTCACTGCTGCCTCGCTCCGGTTTGAGCTGGGACGGTATGTGGAGCGCGCCGGGGTGCCGGATGCACTGCGCGCTGGCATGGCGGCAATGCACGCCGCCATCGTCTCGCCGGCGCTGGCGGCTCGGCTGGGAGCTGCGCCGCAGCTTGCCGCCGTCCGCAGCGAGTATCTGCGGCTCAGCCCGCTCGGCTCGCCGTTGGCGTGGACGCCGCTGCTCATCCGGCGCGTCCCGCACATCTGCGCCCTCATTGCTGGCATGATCCTTGCCTACTACCGCGGCAACGTCGAGTGGCTCCTGGTCTCGGCCCTTTGCGGCGCCTTTCTCGCCTCTTCGATCCGCTTTGAGCACGCCAAGTCGGTCCGCGGTCGCGCTCGCTTCCTCCACCCGTCGATTTACTACTCGCCCGCTGTCGAGGCCGATCTCCGCGCTGTCCTGCATGCCGGCTCGGTGGCGGTAGGCGTCAGCGCAGGAGTTGCCAGCGTAGCAGGTAATGTGCCTGTGGAGACTGGTGCGGAGGCGACTGCGGCGTCGGTTACTGACGAGCTTGCCCAGTTGCGGCGCCGGCTTGGTAGTGAGCATGCGGTTCTTCTTGATGCGCTGGAAGCTGCGGTGGCATCGTCCGCACCTGCCGGTTCGGATGTCGCTCTTGATGCCGTTCCCGACGCCGCTCCTGATGTCATTCCTAACGCGGCCCCTAATGCTGCACCCGACGCCGCTCCTGACGCCACTCTTAGCGCGGCTCCTAACGCTGCACCCAACGCCGCTTCTAACGCTGCACCCGACGCTTCTTCCGACGCTGCTGTCGACGATGATGGCTTTATCATGGTCAAGAGCAAGAAGGCGCGAAAGCGCAATGGCGCTAGGTTCGCACCCACCGGTGACGCGACTAGTCAGCCGTGCATAGATATGCCGATGGCGGTCATGAGGCAGGCGCCGGCAACGACGGTGGTAAACTTGAGGCCGACATTGGCCTTGGACGGATCAACCTCGACGAGCACAATCTCGACAAGGCCGACGTAGACAAAGGTGCCCGAGGCAAAGGCAAGGATGAGGTCGGCGAGCTCGGACTGCAGCGAGTCGGCGACCGAGGCCGAAGCAAGGGCGCCGAGCAGGCCGCCGACCGGAGTCATGAGCGAGAAGAAGATCATGACTTGGAAGAAGCGCGGGAGCGGGACCGAGGCGCGGGTAAGCGCCACGCCGAGCGAGAACGCAGCCAGGCCCTTGTGGCAAAGCACAGCAAGAAGAATCATCGACGCCCGTGCCTCAGAGTTTTCCACGCCCAGCGCAATGCCTTCGATGAGCGAGTGGATGCCGAGCAGCAGCGCAATGAGATATGGCACGATGGCTGAGGTGACGGCGCCAACGGGCGACGTGCCAGGCGCGCCGGGCGCCCGTGCCTCGACCAGGCCGTGAGTGTGTCCGCCACCGCCGCCGTGGCTGTGGCCGTGGCCCTCGGCTCCGTGGCCGTGCGAGCCCGGGCTGGCCATGAGCACGTTCTCAACCCACAGCGGGAGCAGCATGCCGGCTAAACAGAGCGCAGGCGCAACAGGGAGGTCTGGAAAGGCGTCGTACAGTGCCGCAGTGGCCTCCGGGAGCATGTGGACCATGCCCGCAGCAAGGAAGATGCCTCCGGCCAGCGAGTTGCCCAGCTCCATCACCAGATCCTTGTGCTTGTACGCCTGCAGGCGGATGGCCATCAGCCCACCGGCCATGGCCACGCCGAACACCAGCATCAGCGCGTACAGCTTGCTCCACGAGAACGCCGCCCTCCTCACTTCTCCACGCGTGGCCCCGCCCGACGCCTCGACGTGCCCAGCGCCTCCACCATGGCTGTGTCCGTGACTATGCCCATGTCCGACCACACTCTCGGCCGCCGCCACCACCACCGCCACCACCACTATCCCAGCCGTCCGCCATGCTCTGCGCAAGCTCCACATCAGCCTCCGTCCTCACTCTCGCTACCAAAGCCCGAGAGAGGTGAGGGAAGAGTTCTGCCCAGACTATGACCCAGGCTGGGAACGAACGTCCTGTCCGTCTGGGCTCGCTTGAGTCTGCCACGGGCGAGTGCCACGTCGGGTTCTTCCAGTGGTTGGTTGCCCATCACCATCACCATCACCATCACCATTGCCGTTGCCATCGCCATCGCCATCGCCATTGCCATTGCCATCTCCATCACCATCTGCATGGCTGGCATCGAAGAGATATGCATACATGCGTTTGTGTGTATGGATGTATGTATGTATGTATGTGTGTGTGTGTGTGTGTGTGTGTGTGTGTGTGTGTGTGCATCGAAGCCGTCGTCTTGTTCGCAAGGGAGGGGGGTCGAGTCGGACGGACAGCTTTCGACGACGACGACGACACCACCGACGAACAGAGGTCGACCCTCACCACCTCACCATCCCCCCCCCACCACAACCCCCCCCTTTCTCACCCCCCCCATCCCTGTATCCCTGCAAGCCGGCGAGCAGGAGCGAGTCGACGAGCGGCGGGAGAGCGACGTGAGCTGATTTACGTCTGTCCCACCTTCTCACAGTCCCCAGGCGGCACCATGGCAGCGACAGAGGAAGCGACTGCGGCGCGGGTCGAGTCTGCGACGGCGGCGGGAGAGGCTGGCCCGGTCATGATCCTCAACGCAGAGATGGCCAAGCTGCTCATGGCCGACTTTACCGAGAACGATTGGAAGTCGCAGCAGGAGCGCAACAGCGCGGCAAACGTGCTGCGGTACGTGGTCCATGCCGAGCACGCACCGAGCAAGCCCGACGACCAGCTGACAGAGTTCCTTGCTGCCGCTAGCGAGCTCGGGCTCTCCCAGTTTGAGACTGTCCAGATCGCCAACCTTCGCCCGGACAACCTCGCGCTGCTGAGCAACATCCTCGGAGTCCAGATCGGCGCCGCCAATCCAAAGCATGACCTCGACGCAGTCTTGGCCATGATTGGCAAGTTCCTCCCCTTTGACGAGGACGACGACGAGTACGACGAGTATGACGAGGACGGCGACGAGGATGGCGACGAGGACGGCGACGAGAATGGCGAGGATGGCGAGGACGACCAAGAAGAGTAGCATATTGTTGGCGGTAAAATGACTTATCCCCAGCCCCCTTCCCCTTCCCCTGATCCCTTGCCTACTGCCGTCCTGGTCACCACCGCCCGCCCGAGCATGCCGCATCTCTGACGCGCTCGTCGGCAACTCACATTGGCCAGTGGCCAGACCGCGTCATGGCATCCCGCCACCGCCACGCTCCGCATTCAGGCAGTGCACAACTTGACGCAGAGAGCGGAAGCGGTGCAGTCAGGCTCGACTACGGTTCGAAACGTACATGTTGGGCGCTTTGCGGCGGGTTGTGGGCGGACTGGGTGGGCTAGGCGGGCTCAGCGTCGTCCCGGCGCGATGGGCGAGCGGAGACCGGCGTGGGAGTGGGCGCGGGCGCGGGCGGGAGCGCGTCGGCGATGATGGTGGGGCCAAACGCGAGCGGACGGTGCTGTGGAAGGGAGCAGTGCCGGCGCGATCGCTGGAGGATGGAAGCGAAGGCTTCTGCGGTGGATGCGGAGTCAAGCTGCAGAGCCATGCACAGGCGCGCGCCGGCTATGTCCCGCCGCATGTACTCGATGAGTTTGGCCGCGGGCTGAACCGGGTCGAGATGGCGTGCTCGCGGTGTTGGGCGCTGGCAGCACATGGTTCGGAGGAGCGCGGTGGGCGGAGCAACGAGACTGATGCGGCGCGGGCGGCGCGGCTGAGCGCGGTGCTGGCGGAGAAGGGCATGCCTCGCGGCGGGCGGCGGCGGCGTGTGCTCGAGGCGCATCTGGCGGGGATGGAGGGCGGCGGCAGTGAGAGGAGTACGGCAGCCGAGCAGACGGGTGGAGAGAGCGACGATGCCGAGTGGTGGAAGGTGCCGAGCGTGGAGCAGGTCAAGGCGAACGCGGATCGGCAGATGCAGCGGATGCGCGACAAGGGCGCGCTGGTGGTTCTCGTCGTCGACATGCTCGACGTAGAGACGTCACTGCTGTCTGCGGCGCTACCGCGGCTTGTGGGAAGCGGGAACAAGGTGGTAATTGCAGCGACCAAGGCCGACGTCCTCCCGCACGGTGGCATCCAGTACCGCGAGCGGCTGGCCAAGTGGGTGCGACGGGTGGCCAAGTCGACGCTCCCGAGCGAGACGTACGAGCTGGTGGCTTCGGTCGTGCTGTGCTCGGGCAAGAACGCGGTTGGGCTTGCGCCGTTGGTGACCAAGCTCAACGCACTGCGCGGCGACAAGGACGTGTACGTTGTGGGCGCTGCCAATGCCGGCAAGTCGACGCTGATCAACACGCTCCGGGCACGGTTTACTGGGATGGAGCCGCTGCGGCGCAACGTGCTGACGGTAGCACCGCTTCCGGGCACGACGCTGCGATCTGTGCCTGTCCCGCTTGACGAGGGCTCGACACTGTACGACACACCGGGCGTGCTCAAAACGCCATCTGTTGCGGCGCTGGTCCAGGGCGCGCTGCCGTCGGCCGACGCGGCCGAGCTCTTCCGCGAGCTCGCGGTCCGCAAGCCGATCAAGCCTGTGGCGGCGCGGCTGGTGCCGGGCAAGCCACTTGTGCTTGGCGCAGGCGCGTGCGAGATTGTGTCGCACGGGCGGGCGCCGGTGCCTGTGGCGGTCTACGCCTCACCGGCGCTCCCGATGGCAACCGCCGGCGTCCACCAAGGCAGCGAGCGTGTGCGAAGCCTGTTCCGGGCAGCGCTGGCGGCGCTGCCGCACGGCAGCGAGCCGCAGCAGGTGGTCATCGGTGACGAGTACACCCGGCACGTGCGGCGATCGGTGCGGGTCGCCGCCGACGTCAGCCTGCCCGGGCTGGGGTGGCTGGCGGTCGGCGCCCGTGAGCCTGCAGCGCTGAGCATCCGGCTGCCGGGAGGAGTTGCCGCGCACCTCCGGCCTGCGATGTTTCCGTTTGATATGGCACGGTAAAAGAAGGGGATGAACAACGAGGTGAGCAGTGCTGTGTGTCTGTTTAGTTGACAAAGCCACGCGAGGCACGGCGGCCACGGGCCTTCTCGAACTTGCGGCCCTTGGAGCGGACGAACGGGCGGGTGGACGAGTTGGGGACACCCGGGGCACGGCCGAAGTACTTGTTGGCCTTGCGGGCGGAGAGCTGGCCACGGAGGAGGATGCAGTTGGAGCCAGTCGGGCGGGCGATGGCGAGCTCGTCAAAGGTCATGCAGGTACCGCCGGCGGCGACGATGCGGGCACGGACCGACTCGGAGAAGTGCAGGGCGCAGATGGTGAGCTTGGGGACCTCCTCCATGCGCTCGTCGTCGAGGATGGTGCCGACAAGGACGGCGATCTGGTCCTCCTTGCCCTTCATGTAGCGGGCGATGCGCGAGATGGAGACGGGCGGCATGTTCGACCGCGACTTAAAGAGACGCTTGAGCACGGTGGCGTTGAACTTGGAGCCAGTGCGGCGGGCGAGGTACCGGTACAGGTCGACCAGGAGGCCAAGGTACGGGTCGACCGACTTCGGCGCCGTCCGCTTCGTCTTCGTGTTACGCCCACCAGCCTTGAGATCAATACCCTGTAGCCATACCCCGCAGAGGTGAGTCGCACCCGGAATAAAACCGCGAATCATACAAATCACCGCACCCGCCCACCCGGCCCCACCGGGCCCCATCCTCAAGCCACGCGGCTGCACAGCTAGCAACCACAAGTCTGCCACAGCCAAAGCCAGAGAGCCTCCCTGACACAGTCCGGGGTGGCACTCTTCTACATACTACACGCCGTCCTGTTCCGCCTGAAGCCGACGGTTCAGACAAATTAATCGCACCGCCAACTCGCCGCCACCAGCCACAAGGCCACGGCCACAGCCACGTCGCGGCGGAGAGCATGGGCGGCAAGCCACGCATGCAATGCCAAGCACACATACATGTAGTGCAGGCCAAGGCTGTGTAGGGGTGGATGGTGCTGCGCTATCTACACCGCAGCGCCGCCCGCAAGGGCCCAAGGCTTATCGCCCGACTACGTACCATGTTGGATTCGGAGAGAGAGGATGGCGAGGTTGTCAGTCATTGGACCAACAATCGTCGCTCGGCTACTAGAGCCGCCACCAGCCGCCCACCGACCACCCTCAAAATCGGATCGGGATGGGCGCGAGCGGACCAGCGTTCATCTTTGTCCGCATCAGCACCTCGAGCGGCTTCTCGCTGCTTTGTGCAATGCTGAGGAAGGCTAGAGCTTGTTGTTGCGGGAGCTAGGATTGGCTACGACATGAGGATGGATGGCTTTGGCGGAGAGGTTCGACATGGGGTGGATAATTGAAAAAGGGTGGAGTGACCGTTCCATATCAATTGGGGTCTTAGCTCAGTTGGTAGAGCGTGTGCTTAGCATGTACAAGGTCGCGTGTTCAATTCATGCAGACTCCATTTCTTTTTGCTCTCGCCAGCACCCTCCGCCGCATCTCCTCCCCCCTTTCCCTTTCCCCTTCCCGTCACTGAATACGACATACACGTTCCTATTGCCGTTCTCTTGCCCGCGTTCCGACGTGCACTCATGGGTGCCGGTAGCGAGCTCTTTTCTGAGATTGTGGCAAAGTAGTGGATGACATAAAGAGGCAAGATTTCCCATTCTCCATCAGTTGGGGTCTTAGCTCAGTTGGTAGAGCGTGTGCTTAGCATGTACAAGGTCGCGTGTTCAATTCATGCAGACTCCATTTTTTTTGCCCTCGCCAGCACCCTCCCGCACCACTCACAGCATATCGTGCACTAGGTGTTGATAGAATCGTGGAACACAGAGGAAGCCGGTATTGTTGTTTGCAAGCAGTGATGGCTGCAGATGTGAGGCAATGCAGTGGACGAGTCGAAAGTGCGCGAATCGCTGTTTTGTGGCAGTTGGGGTCTTAGCTCAGTTGGTAGAGCGTGTGCTTAGCATGTACAAGGTCGCGTGTTCAATTCATGCAGACTCCATTTATTTTTTGCCCTCGACGAGACCCTCCTCGCCTGCTACACCTGCCATGTTGCCGCTTCGAATGACCTTTGCAGATGCCGCCACAAGTCAGTGGTGAGTCGGCGTTGGAGGTGGGTGGGTGAAGGCGGATGGGCGGCAGACACAATGCTGTAGACAAGTTAAAATGCCTGAGGCGGCCCTTTCTCGCCAATTGGGGTCTTAGCTCAGTTGGTAGAGCGTGTGCTTAGCATGTACAAGGTCGCGTGTTCAATTCATGCAGACTCCACTTATTTTTTGCTCTCGCCAGCACCCTCCGCCGCGTCTTCTGCCCTTCTTCCCCTGTTTCTCTGACCCACGTTCCGACGCCCACTCATGATGCCGGTAGCAAGCTGTGATTGTGACAAAGTAGTGAACAAGATAAAGGCGCAAGATTTCCAGTTTTCTATCAGTTGGGGTCTTAGCTCAGTTGGTAGAGCGTGTGCTTAGCATGTACAAGGTCGCGTGTTCAATTCATGCAGACTCCATTTATTTTTTGCCCTCGCCAGCACCCTCCTCTTGTATTCTGGCTCATCCAGCCACATCCCAAGCAATGTGGCCCTTTCGTTTACGCTACGAGCTCGGCAAGCATTGTCAACCAGTCGAGCATGGTCGGGCGCACGTCGGGTGTAGCAGCCCACGAGTCATCAAGTAGCTGGCGCAGGCGGGCGACGGCCGGAGCTGGCAGTGCTTGATCGAGCGCGTGCATGCCGCGGTCGAGAGCCGCGGTATCGAATGGCTTGCGATAGACGTTTCCCTGGCCCTGCTGGAGACGGCGGACGCCTTCATCGTTGTCGTCGCGGCGGGGGCCGAGCCAGGAAAAGCCGCGCTGGCGCAGCAGGAGCTCTGCAGCAACAACGGCAAATGCGTAGACGTCGATGCAGGTACCGGTCGAGACGTCTCCCATGAGCACTTCGGGCGCAGCGTAGCGCTCTGAAAAGCCGCGAACGCGGAGGTGCGGAGCCGAGGAAAGGCCAAAGTCGGCGAGCTTGGCATCGCCCTCTCGTGAGATGAGGATGTTGAGCGGCTTGACGTCGCGGTGAACGAGCTCGCGGACCGAGTGCAGGTAGTGCAGCGCCTGGGCAACGTGGGTCAGAATACGGAGCGCCGGCAGGAGGTGATTGTCAAGCGAGACTCCGGCCTGGCCGGCAGCCCACTTGGCGAGATTGCCACCGGCGACGTACTCGGTCATGATGCCGAGGCCCGAGTCCGAGACGACGATGCCCATCACAAGCAAGCATCGCGGGTGGCGAACGTCGCGGAGGACCGAGGCCTCGCGGATGAGCTCTTCGACGCCGCGAGCCGTGTTGGCGTTGCGGAACATCTTGACCGCCACGTCGAGGCCGTGGAACCGCATCCGCGACACGGCACCGAATCGGCCAGCCCCGAGCTTGCCGCTTGCCACCACCTCGAGGTCCGCAAGCTGGAACACGTCGAGTTCGCGCGAGTCGATGGTGAAGACAAAGGCGCCTGCATCCGCGTCCGCGAGGGCGCCGCCGGCAAGACTGCCGCCTGCACCTTGCATCCGGGAGAGCGTGCCAGCCAGGACCGGGCCGTCGTACGGCCGGCCGGCGTCGGTGGCGGTGGCGGTGTAGGTGGCATCAGAGTCCGGCGAGGCTGGGATCGGGACGTCGACGACCGAGACGTTGACTACCATGCCCTCACTGGAGGCCCGGACAGCGCTGCCCTGCCGCATCGGCGTTGTTAGATCCTCGGTTCCACCGGTCAGCTCGCTGGTCAGCTCGCCGGGCTCGGACTCAGCCTCGTGCTGCGGCTCGGACTCGGCGGCCGAAGAGGCGGCAGCGTGCGCGGGATACGACGGATTGGACGGGCCGGTCAAATGGGACGACGGCTCCCGGCTCACCGTCAGTCGGTACTGCCTGTGGGTCTTGGGCCGGATTTGGCCGGCAGCCATGTCGCGATGCGACGACGCGCGGGTGGCCACAACGTGCGCGTCCAAGATCGGGACAAGAACATCGCCGTCAATGTATGCCTTGCACACTGGACAAATCGCAAGCTCCGGCGACGAGCTGAGGACAGCCGGAAGCTCGGCCCAGCCAATGTCCGCGGTGCGACGGGCAAGGAACGATGAGATGCAGATGCGGCAGAACTTGTGCAGACAGCCCGGGAGCTCGAGCGCATCGTTCGCCATCTGGGAGCGGCAGAGCGGGCAAGTGTCAAAGTAGCAAAAGTTGGCCACATTGCCAAGCACGCCGCACAGGATGTTGGCCTGCGAGCTTTGCGAGACAGCCGTCCCAGCCAGCGAGCGCCGCGCCCGCTCGATCATGCGGGCCACCACTCGCGGCGGGCGATACGGAACCGACGAGATGCTGGCAAGCGCCGATTCCGCGACCGCCAGCCGTGTCCCCACATCGCCCAGCGACACGTCGGCTAGCGTAGCGTGGGCGGCGTCGACCACCTCCATCACGCCCTTCCATCGCAGAACATCGGCCAGCGCCTTGCCGAGCTTGCCGGCCCGCGACGTCGCGCTCGCCCCTGCGCACCGCATCGCCGCCTTACGCAGCGAGCGATACACACAGTCCGACGGCGAGACGAGGCTCGATGCCAGCACGTCGGCCACCACATCGGCGTACAGCTGCGCCGCCTCGCCGTGCTCGCCCGCCTGTACCAGCTCAGACCCTGCCTCCAGCATCGGTCGTAACCGCATCTCGAGCGCCTCCCACCGCACACGCGGCGCCTTCTGACTCTCTGCCGCAGCAGCCATAGTCTCTCACACTCACTCTCTCCCCTGCGACAGCTGTTACACCCGCAGGCCGCCGGTCCTGGTCCTGGCCCACAACGTGAATGCGCCTGTGGCTGGCTGACATCGGGGCTCTCATTGCCCCGTCTGCGTCAACTCGCCGACCCCCTGTGCCTGCACACATCGCTGGCTCGTCGGCTGTGGCCGATCTCGCCCCTTGCCCATCTCCTCCTCCTGCACCACGCTTTGCCATCGTACGACCAAGCGGCCATGTTGTGGGTGGGTGGCGTGCATGCGATGGGACCGATGCGATGGCTCGGGCGACATCCTCCCCCGTACCAGTCCTGATGAAGGGGCTGGATGGTGGACCGGAGGTGGGTGGATGGACTGTGGCTGGGGCCAGCATCGGGACGGCTGGCTGGCCGCCTTTGGAACGGACATTCCGGCTGACTGCCTTTGGTACGGGCCACCCGGCTGGTTGCCCTATGACGGACCACCTGACTCTTGTCGACGGCAAAGGATGCGGCTGACCCAGTCCGGGCTCGTTGCGGCGTTTGCGTCTGCGAACATCGACCTTGAAGCAGAAGACGGTGTCGTGGGACGGTGTCTCAACATCTGTGCCCTCCATGGCCTCTCTGCTGATGAGCTGCTCAACTCGTGGGATGCGTATGTGTGCAATCACCCGGAGGCCCATGCCCTGACTCTGGACCACCTCGACATTCTCGCCGCAGAGCTGCAGACAAAGGCCGACAGGGCTCAGTTCAAGGCCGCATCCAAGCCCCAACAGGCCGACGACTATGACATCTCAAACATATCCGCTCTGTATGTATCACTGCCCTCCCCCTTCTCCATGCCTGTCCCCACTGGGTCCCCCCCCCGGCCCTCCCTCGGCCCCTTCGGTAGATTCTACACTCACCGCCCCCCCTCCTCCCCCCCCCCCCCCCCCACCACAGCCTTCCACCGCCGACCACCGACATGTTTGCGGCGTACGACGTGCCGAACGAAGAGCTGAAGAAGACTGTCTGGGCTGACGCTCGCTCGCCGGTCAAGGCCAAGCCGGTCTCGCGGGTGGCGGCCATGCGTGGGAAGGACGCCGGAGTGGCCCAGGGCGGCGAGGCTGGCCTGGCACCGGCTGGCTCGCCGTCGTCGCGCTACCGCAACAGGCAGAACGCAGGACAGGTTGTTGACGTGCTCAACCCGCGGGTGGCGCCCAAGGACTACCGGCTGGAGACGTCGGCGGCGCGAGTGACGCTCGCCCTGGAGCAAGAGTTCCACAACTTCCGCTACATGTACGACAAGATCGGCGGCAAGGTGACGATGCTTGAGGAGCGGACGCGGGTGCTTGGCGACGAGCTGCTGGCCGACGCACAGCTGCCGGACCCGCTCTCGCTCGCCGTTCCGCGACAGGAGCCGTTTGTGGGCCTCGGCCGCGTCTGCTGCGACTCTGAGGGCAAGCTCAACGACAAGTCGGTCATGCTCGAGGGCTCTGCCAAGCTCTGCTCGGGCTTCCGCGTTCCGCTCGACCTCTCGCACCTTCCCGAATTCTCGCTCTTCCCAGGCCAGATCATCGGCGTCGAGGGCCTCAACCTGACCGGCGCCTCGATGCTCGCCGGCCAGATCTACACACCGCCGTCGGCGCCCAAGCCGACCACCGAGCGCGACACGCTCGCCATCTACCACCACTACGGCGGCGAGCTAGTCGTCGGAACCAACGCCGACGGGTCCGACAAGACCCAGGAGTTTGAGTTTATGGAGGGCAAGCCGCTGGCCATCATTGTCGCCGGCGGCCCGTATACCACCTCAGACGGCCTCGACTTTGCCCCGCTCCGCGACTTGCTTGCCCGCATCGTCGCCGAGGCGCCGGACGTGGCCATTCTCATGGGGCCCTTCCTCAACGAGGGGCACCCGGCGCTCGAGGACCCGATGCTCGAGGCCACCTACGAGGAGCTCTTTGAGCAGCGTATCGCCGCCGTCATCAACGCCGAGATGGAGGGCATCGCCACCCGCTTTGTCCTCGTCCCCTCGCTCCGCGACATCCAGCACGACCACGTCTTCCCGCAGCCGCCGCTGCCGGCAGACCTCGGTCTCGCGCCCACGGTTTCGCGGCTCTCCAACCCGTGCGTCTTTTCCATCAACGAGATGGTCGTTGCCGTCTCAACCAACGACGTCCTCATGGCGCTCTCGTCCGAGGAGACCTTCCGCGTCCCGCAGGGCGCGCCGTCCGACCGCATGACCCGCCTCGTCCGCCACATCATCTCGCAGCGTTCGTTCTACCCGGTCTTCCCGCCGCCGCCCGGCTCGCAGCTCGACTTTTCCCAGTCGCGCCTCCTCAATCTCGGTGCCACTCCCGACATTCTCATCCTCGCCTCGGACCTCCGCTACTTTGTCAAGGACGTCGACGGCGCCGTCGTCGTTAACCCGGGCCGCCTCACCGTCGGCTCGGCCGGCGGCACCTTTGCCCGCCTCACCGTCCATCCCATGCCCGAAGACGACATCGGCGAGGGCGAGGAGGAGATCGAGCACAACGTCGCCGCCCGCTGCCGCGCAGAAATCATCCGCATTTGATCACTCGTGCTCCCTGCTACAGCGTAAACTCTCACTCACCTTGGCGCTTGTCAACCGCGCGGCCTCTTATCCGTGCATGACCTTGGCCGGCGACTGCTGAACAGCGCCTACCGCCAGCATGCTTCGCTCGCTGTCGAGCTGCTGCGAGTGCATGAGCATCGAGATGCGGAGCTTCTGGTTGGCCACCACCCGCTGCATGGCGTCGAGATCGGTCGCCAACGAGTCGTTCTCGGCCACAAGCGACTCGACAAGCGCCGTCATCGACGACGTGCCCAGCGCCTCCATCTTGGCCCGGACCGGCGACGAGAGCGAGTCGCGGACGGGGCTCCTCGCTCCGGCCTGCGTCGCCGAGAGAAGAGACTGCAGATTGGCGTTGTCGTTGCGGAGCGCCGTGATCTGAGCCTTGGACTCGTGCGTCAGGTCGCGCATCATGGCAATGACTTGCTCTAGTTCGAGCTCCTTGTGCCGCAGCGCAGCCTCGAGCTGATACACCTCGGCCCCGGCGCTCGCCTCCATCCGCTGCTCCGCCCCAGCGTTGGTCGCCGCACTCGCTGCGCTGTCGTCGGCGGTAACCTGAGCCTCGTGCCGGAGCTTGAGCACCTGCGCCGCCTGTGCCCGGAGCTGCGCGTCGTACGACTCGCGCATCGCCCGCTTCTCGTTCTCGGCACTCACCACTTGGTCCTCCAGCACTCCGCGCAGACCCTCCAACTCCTCAACCCGTGCCGCCTTGGCGTCGGCCTCGAGTCGCGCCGTCAGCAGCGCTTGCTCGAGCGACGCCGCATGGTTGTGTGCGTGCGAAACGTCGGCCAGTGCCGCGTCGAGTCGGCTCTGAGCGTCGCTCACCTTGCCATGCAGGACCTGGATCTCCCGCTGCGCCGCCTCTTTGGCCCGCTCTGCTGCCGCGTTTCGTGCCCGCAGCTCAGCAATTTCCGACCCGTTGTCGGCCACCTTGGCCCGGAGCTCGTGGACAAGCGCCTGCGTCCGCCCGTGCCGGGTCTCGGCCGCCTCGGCCGCTGCCGCCTTTTGCTCCAGCTCGGCAAGCCTGCTCCGCGCCCGCTCCAGCTCAGACGTTGCCGAGTAGTACTTGCGTTCGAGCGAGGCGCGGGCGGCATCGGCGTCGGCATCGCGCGACGCCGCCGCCGCCGCCTCTTCGTTCAGCCGCGCTACCGTTGCGTTGAGCGCCTTGATCTGGCCCTCCAGCCGCGGAATCACCGCCGCCCGCTCCAGCTCCTCGTCCACCCGTAGCCGCAGCGCATGAATCTCTCCCCGCAGCCGCTCGTTGGCCTGCGCCAGACCCTGCGCTTCGGCTACCGCCGCCGAGTGCTCAGACTGCATGGCCGCCAGCACGTACGCCGGCTCGCGCCTCTCGCCCGGCCTCGCCAGCGGCTCATCCTCCCACGCCTCTCCATCCGCCGGCCCATAGTAACCATCGCTTGCATCACTCTGCCACCGTCCGCCTGCCCGCTCCGGATGTGGCGGCGCGAGCTGCGGCGGCTCGGCGCCATACGCCCGGCCGTTTCCGCGAGCGCCCGACACCTGGCCATAGCTGGCCTCGTCCTGGCAATGGAGGGCGCCATGGGGGAGCCGGCTAGCGGCAGCTCGGACAGCAGCACGCGTCCGCGACCGTGCATGGCTCCGCCCTACGTCGCGGTAGGCGTAGGACGAGGCCCGAGGCCGTGCTCGGCTACGGACAGCCGCACTGCCGCCGGGCACCTTGAGCGCTCTTGACGTGGTGGACACGCCCCGCGGGGTGCGGCGGGTATCCGGCGAGGCGAATCCAGGCGCACCCACCCCTTCCACTCTGCCTCTCCCGGCACCACCCGTACCACCACTGCTGCTCGTAGCCCGTCCGCCCTTGTCATTCGCTCGGAAGTGCTTCATGTAGCTCCGCAACGACGCAGAGCTGCTGGCCGCCATCCGCGCGCGAAACGGGCGCGCTGCAGTGGAGTGACGACTGGACTCCTAGACCGACCGACGAATGGACTGCCACACCGACCACACCGACAGACTCCCAGACCGACCGACGAATGGACTGCCACACCGACCACACCGACAGACTCCCAGACCGACCGACGAATGGACTGCCACACCGACCACACCGACAGACTCCCACACTGACCGACGAATGGAGGGACGGAGAGACGGATCGAGATCACGGACAGTCATGCTCACATGGGGGAGGTTGCCGTTGCGTGTATCGCTATGCCATGTGCTTTGCCTTGATGGTGGGCACCACTGTTTCCAGGCCGGATTTGTGTGTCGGTCGGTCTGAGTGGTGGTGCGCCAGCTTCTGGTCTTTTGCGGCCCATCCATCGAAGCCGGCAGGCCATGGGCGGGTGAGCGGGGACGGCAACGCGGCAGGTCGCACCACGTCACCCCGTCACCCCGTCACCCCCCGTCCCCCCCGTCCCCCCTCCCATCCCCCTCCCGCCCCTCTCCTTCACCTCCACATGCGCAACCTCAGCCACCTTCACACACGGGCCCACCATGTCGTGGGAGCAGGAGCAGGAGCAGGAGACGACGGCCGAGCCGTGGCCGCAGCAGGGTTCTGCCCCGACGAGACGAGCATGGTGGCGGTGACGACCGACGGCTGCCTCCTGGCCACCGATCTCAAGTCGGGCGAGCAGATTCAATGGGCCATGGTCACCGGCGAGGAGCTGATGGATGCGCCGCTTCTTCCGCATTCGTTTGTTGCCATGCATGTGGCGGCTGATGGCGAGTCGGTCTCTCTCGCCGCCGCTGATGGCGTCGTCGTTGTCCACGAGCTGCAGGACAATGTGACAGAAGCCGTCGGTGACATCGAAGCTGGCATCGCCGCTATGGCTTGGTCACCCGATGACGACGCTGTGGTCATCGTTACCGCCGCTGCGCCTGTTCCTTCGGTCCTGCTCCTCAATCGTGACTGGTTCCCAGTCGCAGAGCTGCCATGGGACGCCCCACCGCCGGCCCGCCCTGCCGATCCGGCACTTACCCTGGACAACCAGCCGCCGGACGGCCCCGAGTCCGAGATCGAGTTTGGCGCCGCCGCTGGAGTGCGGATCACGTGGCGGCCGGACGGTGCCTTCTTTGCTGTCAACGCCTGGGACGCTGCCGCCGGCAAGCGCCGCATCAACGTCTACTCGCGCAGCGGCGAGCTCGTCCACGGCTCGGATCCCTTTGCCGCCCTCGGCGTCGCCATGGCCTGGAAGCCATCGGGCGCGGTCTTTGCAACCTCGCAGCGCCTTCCCGAGGGCAACGCCGTCGTCTTTTTCGAGTCGAACGCGCTGCGGCATGGCCAGTTTACCCTCGCGCCTGCCGACGCCGAACTCTCGGTCGCCGATCTCAAGTGGGCGCCCGATGGTGAGGTCCTTGCCGTCCTCCTCACCACCGCTGACGGCGCTCCGGCCAAGCTGCAACTCTGGGCCGCATCCAACTACTGCTGGGCCCTCAAGGACGAGATCAGGCTCGCGCCGGGCTCCGATCCGCTACTCCACTTTGAGTGGGATCCGCTCGGCATCGAGTTGACCCTCTTCCTCGTCCATGCTTCGGGTGCGTGCTACTCTCGCCGCTACTGCTGGGACACGGCACTCGGCTCGGGCCTCTTTGCCGACAACACCTTTCCAGTGGCCGTCGCCGCCGGGCATATGGTCAAGATCACTTTTCTCGGGCTTGCTGTTGTCCCGCCGCCGTACGCCACTCTCGAACTGGCTGTCCCGCCCGAGTTCGGCCCGGCGCTCGGCTCGCCGGCCTTTGCGCCGGGCTCGCTGGCGCTGGCGGTCACCGGCCCAGCTCACGTTCTCATCTATGAGGCAGACGGCCGCGGCAGCTATGCAGGATCGCCGGCGGCGGCGGTGCCTCTCCCCGAGCCGCTCTCGCAGCTGCAGTGGCTCTCGCAGGACGCGCTCGTGGGCGTCGGCGCCGATGGCGCGTCGCTGGTGGTGCTCGCCCGCGACGCTGGCGCGGCCTTTGACTCGCTTTCTCTCGCGGCGCGGGTCGCTGTCGAAGGCCTTGTCCTCCGGCTCGACGTCTCAGCACACACCGGGATGGCCCTGATCCAGCTTGCGGACGGGCGGCTGTTCCGGTACCAGGGTGTGGGCGGCCTCGCAGTTCCTCTGCAGGTTGCCGGCGGCCGGGTCTCGCTCCCGGCGCCGTGCGAGGAGATGACCTCGATGAAGTGGAACGGGCCGCAGGGCGCAACGACCGTTGTTATTGCTCGCTCGGCGCTCAACAAGCTGTACATCAACGGGGTGTGTGTCGCCGACACTGCGTCGTCGTTTGCGCTTCATGCGCGCTTCCTCCTCTACACCACTATTGCCGCCGAGCTGGTCTTTGTGCCGTGGACAACCGACGTGTCAAGCAGCGTCCTCGAGTCGCAGGTGACGGTACTCGAGTCGCGCCTGGTCGAGCGCGGCGCGCAGCTCGTCGGCGTGGTCGAGACTGGCGTCCGCGTCGTCCTGCAGATGCCGCGTGGAAATGTCGAGGTCATCGAGCCACGGCCGTTGGTCAAGGCCCGCGTCGCCGCCCTCCTTGCGCGCAAGAACTATGGTGCTGCGTTCACTATCATGCGCCGGCAGCGGCTTGACCTTAATCTCCTGGTCGAGACCGACCTGGAGGCCTTTGTGACCGACGCGCCGCTTGTCGTCGACCAGCTGGGCAAGCCCGACTCGCTCAACCTAGTCCTCACCCGCCTCGCCGTCTCGACTGTCTCGCTCAAGGACGCTACCGCCGACGCCAACCTCCGCATTGTGCCGCAGATCAGCTCGGCTACTGACGCCGGCACCGCGCTGCGGGCCGCGCTGGCCAAGACCGAGAAGACCCGTGATGTGGCAGCGCTCCGCGCCGACGACGGCACCGCCGCCGGCCACGCCCGTGTCAATCGCGTCTGCGCCGCTCTCCGCACTGCCATGCTCGCGCGGCCTGACGCGGCGGCGTGGGAGCTGGCCATCCTCACCTCGCTCGCGGTCCAGGTCCCGCCGGCGCTCGAGGAGGCGCTCGTCCGGGTCCAGGACTTGCGCGCAGCGATGCAGGCCGACGCTGTTGGTTCGCCGAGCGACGGCTCGCTCGTGCGTGTTGTTGTCGACGTCGGCGCCGGCGCGGCACCTGCGCCGCATGCCAAGCCCACCAGTCTTGGTCCGGCGCAGGCGCTGGACTACCTGGTTTTTCTCGCCGACGCGGACGAGCTCTTCGACGTTGCGCTCGGCCTCTACGACTGGGACCTGGTCCGGCTTGTGGCCTCGCGGACCCAGAAGGATCCGCGTGAGTACGCTCCGCTGCTGGAGTGCCTCGCCACGCTTCCGCCACCGTTTGCCCACCATGTTGTCGACACCTATCTCGGGCGGATCGACAAGGCTCTGGCAGCGCTGGTGCAAGTCGGCGACGGCGAGGTCTCGCGGGCGGCCGTGCGTCAGCTCGCCACATACTTTGCCGCGGGCGAGTTCCTTGACCTGGCGAATGGCGAGTCAACCCACGTCTCGCTCGCCGAGCTGCACGACCTCTACCTCCGCGTTGTGGCCGAGGCCAAGGCGCACGCGGTGGGACAAGCGATTGCTGCAGAGGCAAACGTACCAATCCTTGCGGCCCGGGTTGCTGTTGCGCACGCGCACGCACTGGTAGCCCGCGGCAAGGTTGCCGAGGGTGGTGCGCTCCTGGCTGCGGCGGGTGAGCACGCCGCTGCTCGCGAGGCATACCTGGCCGCAGGCGAGTGGCGGCTGGCATTTGCGTCTGCGCACGCGCTCGGCTACGACGTCGACGCTCTGCTAGAGATGGCGTACGAGGCATCGGAGAAGCTAGCGGCGCGCGGCAAGGCTGCGGCTGCGGCTCAGATCCTGGTCCGCTACGCCCGCGACGTCGATGCAGCTGTCGAGGCTCTGCTCGCTGGCGACGAGTGGATGGATGCGGTGTGGACGGCGCGGCAGGCCGGGCGTGACGACCTTGTGGAGGCCGATGTCCGCGACGGCGTCGTCGCGTCGGCTGCCGAGTGGCTGAGCACCATTGAGGAGAAGCATGCCAAGTGGCGGCGCGGCGTCGGCAAGCTGGCCGGCATGTTCGAGCGCCGCGCCGCCGCTGGCGGCTACCATCGGCCGTCACACGCTGGAAACGAGAGTGAGGCGTCGGCCGCCGACGACGCGTTCTCGGACACGTCGTCGGTCGTCTCGGGCTTTACCACGTCGACGGCGTCGTCGTCGGGCGCGTCGGCGCTCTCGTCGTCGGCGTCGGTCCGGTCGCAGGCGCGTCGGCGCCGCAAGGCCGCGGCCAAGCGAGCCAAGGCCGCGGCCAAGCGGTCCGGCGGTCTCTCTGGCGAAGCCTACGCAGTCGCCGGCCTCAAGCGGTCGGTTCCGTCGGCTGCTTTTACCTCCAAGGTCGGTGAGCTGGTCCGGGCCTGCCTCTACTTTGGCGAAAATGCTGCTGGCGCCGCTCTCCAAGCCCGCTTCGATGCCTACCTCATCGACATCGAGTACATGTACGGCCTGCTCGACATGGGCGCGGCCGCCATCGCGCCGGCTCCCGCCGCGCCTGCCCCTACGGCATCGGCGTCTCACCTCCCTCCCGGTTTTGAGCTGAACACCGTAACCCTTGCCGACGGCTCGCTCGCCTCGTTTACCATGCGTCCAGTCCTCCAGCACGAAGATGTGTCGTGGAAGGCGCGCTCGCTTGCTGCGCCGTAGCCCACAAAAGACAACGCCGCCCACATCTGGTGTGCCCGCGCACTCGCGCGCTTGCGCGCTCGCGCGCTCGCGGCTTTTGCATCAACGAACAATAGAGTCAATGACAGAAGGGAGGGGGGTGGGCGCGACCGGCGACCAACCAGCGACCAACCGGCTAAGGACTGAGCAGCCCAGATTTGGCCACTCTTCTTCCATTCTTGACCAATGTCGGCTTCGGACTCATCGTCTGCGTCTGTCTCGTCTGACCCGGCGGCATCCGAGTTTGACCCGACCCTTAACAATCCGGTTGTGTGCAATCAGTTCCGTGCTGCTGCCGAGATTGCCAACTGTAGGATGCCTGTGGTAGCGGGGCGCGCGGCGTAGCCAGCGAGGGGCGGCGGCGGCCGAGGATTTTCCGTGGCATCTCCGCCACGGCATGGACGAGGTGTTGCGGGCTGGTGTGGGCAAGACGAGGATAATAAGGACTCACAATGCGGGTGGGATGGCGGTACGGATGATGGTCGCGGGTGCTACCTTGTTTTGGGTGGGAGGTAGATGTGCTGGAACAGGTGGCGGCCATGTGCGTTGCTGGAGCCACGCCGTTCGAGGTGGTTCAGCAGGGCAATGAGCTGCTCCTGGCCAGGTCGGCCAAGATGATGAAGAAGGCCAAGTTTACGCGTGGCGTGGCCATTCCGGTCTCGATCTCGGTCAATGAGTGCCTCGGCAACTACTCGCCGCTGAGCCAGTCGCCGGATGAGGCGCCGCTCGCGGTGGGCGACATTGTCAAGATCGACCTTGGCGTTCACATGAACGGCATGCCGGTTCAGGTCGCCAACACGATTGTGGTCGGCGCCTCGGGCTCGGACGTCGACCCGGCGGTGGCATCCGTCATCACTGCAGGGTACACCGCGCTGCAGGCGGCCATCCGCAAGTTCACCGTCGGCGGAACCAACGCCGAGGTCACCGACGTCATCAAGAGTGTGGCCGACGCGTTTGAGGTCAACGCTGTCGAGGGCGTCCTCTCGCACGAGGTCTCGCGCTTTGTCATCGACGGCGAGAAGTGCATCATCAACAAGGAGACGCTCGACCAGCAGGTGGCTGCGTGGACCTTTGAGGCCGCCCAGGTCGTCACCTTTGATATTGTCGTCTCCACCGACGACGCCAAGCCGCGTGTGGTCAACGAGAACACCACCATCTTCAAGCGCGACCCGACCCAGCGCGGCGCGCTCAAGTCCAAGGTCGCCCGCCGTGTTCTCAACTTCGTCGACCGCGTCGCCTCGGCCTTCCCCTTCACTCTTGCCACCCTCTCTGTCCTTGGTAAGGACAAGAAATCGCTCTCGCTCAACGAGGGCAAGCTTGGCATGTCGTTGATGGCCAAGTCCGGCTTTGTCGTCGACTACCCCGTCCTCCACGCCCACGACAACGCCTTCTCGGCCCGCTTCAAGGCCACAGTCGCGCTCATGCCTTCCGGCCGCCGCATCGTCTTGTCTGCCCCGCCGGCGCTTGACGCCGAGCTCGCCCCGACCCACAAGATCGAGGACGAGGAGCTGCTGGCCCTGCTTGCCACCAGCGCCGAGACCAAGAAGAAGAAGAAGAAGAACAAGAAGAAGAAGGCCCCTGCTGCCACCACCGAGTAATCGACTTCTGCTACGCTTGTCAGCGGCTCTACGACCTCAGCTGCTGTTCGCCAAGTAAAGTATTGCGTCTTCAGCTTGCTCCACCGACGCCGGCGATGTTCACCGCTCCTCCTGGATCGACTGTTGCTTGGCTAGCTCTGCCGCTGCGGCCTCGAGCGCGGGCGTCAGCGTCTCAGCCATGTACTGCGTCTTATCCTCAATCAGAGCCCGGGTCGTAGCCAGCGAGGCTTCTGCCGCTGCCAGCGCCTCGGCCTCGGTCTTGGCCCGATCAGCGAGCGCGTTGCGCTTGTCCTCGAGTCCGCGGATGAGCGCGGCTGCTTCCCGGGCGGAGGTCTTGATGGCCGCTGCGTCTCCATACTCGGCGACCAACGCCTCGGTCTTGGCCGCGATCTTGGCCTGCTTTCTTCGGAGTGCGCCGAGAGCTGCTTGCAACTCTGCAAGTTTGGCCTCCTCTTCCGGCGTGGCCGGTGGCGCGAGGTTGACCACCGCCGGCTTGCTCAGGGCCTGATCTTGCTCGACGTCAGGCAGCAGCTGGAGATGCTTGACCTTGCAGAAGATGCCGTGGCCGTCCTTGCAGGCAAAGTACGCGCGACCACCGACCGAGCCATCGTGTTTGCCCAGAGGTTCATCGAGGGCCACACCGACGACGACCTTGTCCACAAACTCGACTTTGCCGTAGTACATGACCGTCCCCGTGTTATCCTTGCACCTCACCCGGGCCCCGACTGTGGTCACCGTCAGCTCCTCTGTCGTCCCCTCTCCAGCCATTGTGGGCTTGATGCTGTTCAGAAGCGAGTAGGCTGCGTGGGTATGGGGGGTATGGGGCGTGGGAGAGGTGGTGATGGTGATGGTTGTGCCCTTAGCCTGCATCTGGCAAAGGGGGGGGGCGGAGGACCCAGTGCGGGGGGGGGGGGAGAGGGGGGGGGAGGGGGCAGGGGAGGGAGGGCTGTATGAGTAATGAACAACATGAGATGGACGGGTGAGTGAGTGAGTACCCATGTAGAGGATACTCCATGCCCCGTACAAGGTAGATGTATGCCTATGCGTCCTTGATAGAGTCCAGATGGTCACCGATAGACTGTTGGGCACCCCGGAGGGAGAGGGCGGAGGGCGGAGGGCGGAGGGGGGGGTAGCTCCCAGAGGGGGTTGGTGGCCAGCCAGGCCAGGGTCAGGCCCAAAGCCACACACTCGACTTGCAGTGGGCGACATGGCGTCTAACCACCCGACCATTGAGATCGTGGAGGTGGACAAAGACCACATCAAGTTCTCCCTCTCCAACGCAGACTCTAGGTACGGCTGCTGTGTGTAGTACCGGCGGTGGTGGGAGGGGGAGGGGGAGGGGGAGGAGGGGGGATGGCTGTGGCGGGAGTGCGACTTATGGTGGTATGGCTGCTGGCTTGCTGGTGGTGGTGGTGGTGGTGGTGGTTGCGGGACGGACGGACGGGCATGCGGAATACGGTTGTGGCTATGGACATGGTGTGCGTGCGTGGTGGGTGTGTGCGGGCTGTGGTATGGGCGGGTGTGGGTGCGTCTGGCGGTGCGGTGGACAGCCTGGCCAACGCGTTGCGGCGTGTCATTATTTCCGAGGTCCCGACCATGGCCATTGATCTGGTGGAGATCCACGCCAACTCGTCGGTCCTCCATGACGAGTTTGTGGCTCATCGGCTGGGCCTCATTCCGCTCGACTCGACCAACGTGGGTCAGTTCAACTACACCCGCGAGTGCTCGTGCAACCGCCGGTGTGCGCTCTGCTCGGTCGAGCTCCGGCTCGACTTTAAGTGTGAGGGCGAGCAGACAGTCAACGTCACTTCGTCGATGCTGTATTCAGAGGACGATCGGGTGGTGCCGGTGGTGTCACAGGACATGGCGCGGCCGACTCGGCAGAATGGCGACGACGACGATGACGTGGTGCCCGAGGTCGAGGACACTGGCGTGCTCATCGTCAAGCTGCAGGAGGGCCAGAAGCTCTCGCTCCGGGCCATTGCTAAGAAGGGCGTGGGCAAGGAGCATGCCAAGTGGTCGCCGGTCTCGTGCGTCGAGTTTCAGGAGGTGCCCGAGGTGGTCATCAACCAGGACCTCATGGCCGAGCTCGAGGAGGCCGACAAGGAAGAGTGGGCCGCATCGTGCCCGAGCAAGGTCTTCCGCTACGACCCGGTCTCGCGTCAGGTCGAGGTTGTCGAGAATGGCCGCGCCTGCACCTTTTGCCGCGAGTGCACCCTCAAGGGCGAGCTGCTCGATACCCGTATCAACCCGGGCGAGGACCGCTTTGCCAAGCTTGTCCGCATCACCTCCAAGCCCAAGGAGTACATCATCACCGTCGAGTCGTGCGGCACCCTCCCGGCCGCCGACATTGTCCAGTCGGCCCTGGCCGTCATCAAGGAAAAGCTCTCCAACGTCCAGGCCGAGATGAACGGCGCCTGGCAGTGACGCGGTTGCTCTGTTGCACCGTCTCTCTCTCTGCCCCTGCCCCTGCCCTCGCTTCTTGGCCACGGGTCACTAAACTTGTCGATCTTGCCCAGCGCCTTTCCCCTGGCCTCTTCCTGTCGCCACATTCCCCGCCCGAGCCGGCCGCCAAGCCTGTTGCCTCCACGACGGCCGCCGCCCGCTGACGGCCGCTAGTACGACACAAACTGGCCCATCGCGAACGTGCCTGAACTCATCGCACACAGTGCTTCGACACCCGCTCTCCATGCAGGCCTCCCTCATGCTCCTCCAACTTCAACTGTACGCGTGCCTGAGCCTGGGCCCTGTGGCGCGGCATCAAGTCTGTGCCATTTCCTTCGCGCTATTCCTTCGCGCCCTCCACCGCGCCTTCCCGCCCAACCCGGCCGGCCACCCCCTTCTCTCCCTTAGGCACCACTCGTCTACAAGCCGCAGCATGTCAAGCCGCCGGACACCACGGGAGGCGAGCGGGAAGAGCAAGGACAAGGGCAGGGGCAAAGGCAAAGGCAAGGACAAGGGCAAGGAGAGCAGGGGCAGCAAGAAGGTGACGGTCAAGCTTCGGCCGCCGTCGGACGAGCGAGTGCGTGTCGTCGTCCGCTGCCGTCCGCTCGGCGAGAAGGAAGTGACGGACGGACGGAATGTGGTGGTCGAAGTCGACTCGACGGCACGGACGGTAGCAGTGTACAAGCCTGACGGCGCCCGTGATCCGCACAAGGTCTTCACTTTTGATGCCACATACGGGCCTGATGCCACACAGCTCGGCATCTACGAGGAGTCGGCCCGCCCCATCATCGAGGCTGCGCTCGGCGGTTACAACGGCACCATTTTTGCGTACGGTCAGACTGGAACAGGAAAGACGTTCACCATGGAGGGCGTGTTTGGCGACAAGGCCCTCCGCGGCATCATCCCCAACGCCTTTCACCACATCTTCCAGCACATCGGCGACTCGGTCGACCAGCAGTACCTTGTCCGCGCCTCGTACCTCGAGATCTACAACGAGGACATCCGCGACCTGCTCTCCAAGAACTACACCCGCAAGCTCGCGCTCAAGGAGCATCCCGACTCGGGCGTGTACGTCAAGGACCTCTCGGCCTTTGTCGTCAAGTCGTTCACCGAGATCGAGCGGGTCATGGCCGCAGGCAAGAAGCACCGCGTCACCGGCGCCACCAACATGAATGCGCAGTCATCGCGCTCGCACTCGGTCTTCACCATCACCATCGAGTGCTCCGAGCTCGGGCCCGACGGCGACACCCATGTCCGGGTCGGCAAGCTCAACCTCGTCGATCTTGCCGGTTCCGAGCGCCAGTCCAAGACCGGTGCCGCCGGTGACCGCCTCAAGGAGGGTATCAACATCAACGTCTCGCTCTCGTGCCTCGGCAACGTCATCGCCGCGCTGGCTGACGGCAAGACCCGCCACATCCCCTACCGTGACTCCAAGCTCACCCGCCTTCTGCAGGACTCACTCGGTGGCAACTCCAAGACGGTCATGATGGCCAACGTCGGGCCGGCAGACTACAACTTTGAGGAGACCATGTCGACTCTCCGCTGGGCCAACCGCGCGAAAAACATCAAGAACAAGCCCAAAATCAATGAGGATCCCAAGGATGCTATGCTCCGCCAGTTCCAGGAGGAAATCGAGGCGCTCAAGGCCCAGCTCTCGCAGCACGGCGTGGTACCCGATGGCGGGGACAGCGCCGCAGCGGCGTCGGGCGGCATTGACGTCTCGCAGGCCCGCATTCAGGAGATGCAGGCCCAGCTGGAGGCCGAAAAGGCCCGCCTTGCCGCCGACCGCGACATGGTCGACTCTGAGAAGGCCAAGATCGCCGCTGAGCTCGAGGCCCGCGCCGTCCTCCTCGAGGACGAGCGCAAGGAGCAGGAGGCGCTCGCCGCCCGCCTCGCCGCCATGCAGGATAAGGTCCTCTCCGGCGGCACCGAAGGCCTTATCGACCTCAAAGAAAAGCAGGAGCGCGAGCTGGAGGAGCAGCGCCTGCGCCTCGAACGGCAAGCCCGCGAGGAAGAGCGTCTCAAGAAAGAGCTCGAGGCCCAGGCCGAGGAGGCCGAGCTGAGCAAGAAGAAGTTCTCATCGCTCGAGGAGGAGGCCGCCATCAAGACCCGCAAGCTCAAGAAGCTCTGGTCCAAGCTGCAGAACGCAAAGGGCGAGCTCTCGTCTCTCGAGGAAGAGCACGCCATCGATCGCCTCGAACTCATGGAGGAGATCCGAACCCAGAACGACGAGCTCAAGCTCTTCCGCTGCATCATCAACAACTTTGTTCCTCCCACAGAGGCCCACAAGGTCCAGCAGCGGGCGCTCTGGGATGACGACGCCGACGACTATGTCCTCAAGCCCGTCGACGTCACCTTTGACCGCGAGCTCAAGCGGCCGGCCGCGCGTCCCGGCGAGAAGCGCCCGCTTCCTGACTATGCCCTCCGTGCCCTCCAGCAAGGTGCCACCAATCCGCGCTTCCGCGTCGAGAACATTCTCCAGATGGAGCTTGCCATGCCCAAGCGGACAACCGTCGACTACGTTGGCTCCTCCGTCCCGGACACCATCCAGGACGCCCTCGATCAGGCCTTGGCCGGCGAAGACGAGCTCGAGCTCCGCGCCACCGAAGCCCTTCCCAGCCTGTAGACTGTAAATCCACGCGGGTCGACTCATCGATGGCCAAGCCGATGCCCCCAGTCAATGGCTGCCGTGCCGAGCTTCCACTGCCACCGGTCGCCGCCCGTGCACGAGTTTGGCCCAAGCGACCGCACCGACACTGTTCTCTCTCTTGCTCTCTCTATATCTCTTGCCCTGCCTCAAGGCCATGACGCTTGTCCAAGGACTGGCCAGCGTGTCTACGGCTGCTGCGTCAGGCTGGCTGGCGATGACCTGGCTCGGCTGGTCGTGGCTCCTGGCTCTGGTCCTGGCCATGGCGGTGGGCGCGGTGGTGGCTATGGCTACGGCGGTAAGGCGATGGTGGTCGGCGAGCAGCCGGTGGAAGGGAGGTTTGAGCGTGTGTGTCAGAAGGGCGACTCATCGTGGAAGAGCGAGGATGGGCTTCAATCGCGGCGTGTGTGGTTGGCGTGGCGGGCGGCGGTCGATGGGGCGCGCAGCGGTCAAAGTCGCCGGCTGAGCTGGTGGCCGAGGCCGAGTCGTGGGATGCCAAGCATCTGCGGCATCACTCGGAGATCCTGGAGCTGGCAGCTGGGCTGTGGATGGTGGAGGGTAGCAATGCGTACCCGCTGCCGCGAAACATGTTCATTGTTGCGCTGCGATCCGGCGGCTTGCTCCTCTACTCGGTCGTCGCTATGAACGAGGATGCGATGCGCGAGCTGGAGGCTCTTGGCATGCCGGAGATCATGGTGGTGCCATCGCGGCAGCACACCTTTGATGCTGCCCGCTACAAGGCCCGGTACCCGCAGCTGACCGTTGTATGTTCACCCGAGGATGCTGATGTGATCTCCAAGCGGGTTAGCGTCTCGGCCACTTTTGACGAGACCGACGTGCTCGAAGCCGCAGGCGTTCGGGTCCTCGTCCCGCCTGGCCTCAGGCCACGGATGGCTGGTGAGCGGGTACTAGTAGTGCCAATTGCAGGTGGGCGGAAGAAGGCGCTTGTGTTCTGTGACCTTATCTTCAACCTCCCGCCGTCGCAGTGCTCGATCATCACCCGGCTCCTCGGCTCCGGACCGTTCTTTGGGCCGACACGCATCCTACGGTGGTTCGGACTTGCCGATCGCTACGCGTTCCAGCAGTTCCTGCTAGATTGCTCGTACATGAAGGGCGTTGATGCGGTGTTGATGACCCACGGCTCGCCCGTGCTCGCGCCCTCGGCCACCGGCCTGCGGCTCGGCGGCGATACATGTACCATTCCGGAGCTCTTGCTCGAGGCAGCGGCTCGGGCGTGAGTCGTGGCTACCGCTGTGGGATGGAGGATGTTCATTGCCTGCAGTTAGCAGGGTGGCTTCTTCGCCTCCTCCCTCAGTCGAGCGCAATGGCGGGCTACGAAAGCGCCGCACCGGCGATTCCGACCATAAACTGGGCGGTGGCTTCGTCGCTGGCGCGGACAGTCACATCGAGCGCCTCGGACGAGCCGGTCTTGGAGAGCTTGGCATGGACGAGGACAAGTGTCGAGCCCAGGAGCGAGCCGGCGAGGATGGCCTCGGGCCCGATGAGATCGACCGGCGCCACCCCGAGGGCTCCCACAAGGATGTCAGACACCCGCGCAGCGTTGCCGACACTCACTGACGCCAGTGCGACCTTAGCTTCGGACCGGAGCTTGATCCACTCACCGCCAAAAGTCTCTGTCACCAGCTCCTTGCCGCGCATGAGGTCGGTGAGATCAAAGTGGGTCTGAACTGGGACGAAGCTCGAGCTGCCCTCACTGTCGGTATACGCCACAGCCATGTTGATGGCGAGGTTGAGCGAGTGCGCTCGATAGGTCGAGGTAAAGACGACTGCGACCGTCGCGCCGCCGGCCAGCTCACCGCGCAGCGCAAACTTGCTGCCTCTCTGCTCGATGGGCAAGTCGCCGTCGGCGACGACCTGCAGGCCCGATGGGCCCTCGTATGTCACCACAATGTTGGCAAGCGGGGCGTCGGATGCGTTGGCGAGGTAGAGCACGACATGAACCGCGGCTTCCGAGTGAGTCTTGCAATCGCGACCGCCAGAGGCGCACTGCCAGCCGTAGGCTCCACCGGAGGCGGCGGAACTGGTGCCCCCGCTTCCGCTAGCAGCGTCTGTACAGCTGTCGAGAGAGAGAACCGCGGGACCGAGGCCGATGCAAACGGGAGGAGCGAGGAGCCTGCGTCCAAAGATGTGGCGGACGCTACCGCCGACGGCGATGGGGTCGGCGCAGTCATGAACGAGAACACGTCCGATGGAGGCCCGGGCGAGGTGGGAGCGGTTGAGGCAGGCGTGGATGTACCAAAGCCATCAAGGTCGAGCAGCGATGCTGACGCCGACTTGGAGACTGGCGGCGGCGATGCCGGTGGCAGACTGCTGCTGCTGCCGCCGCCAAATATGTCGAGGAGTGAGGCTGATCCCTGGGTAGAGAGCGTGTGCGCCTGCGAGTCGGCGCCAGAAGGAGCAGTATCAGTGGTGAGCGCGGGACTGGATGGCTCACGCGAGCGGGAGCGGCCGCGCGGCTTGCGATCCTTGCGGATGCGGACGCCGACGGGCTTGTCGAGGCCGAGCGACGAGGTACCGGCAAACAGGGCCTGGGCCTGTTGTTCGCGCGCGGACGCGCGCGGCGAGGACGGAGCGGCGTCGGGCGTCGGGTCCGAGGTAGCTTCACCGCCAGCTGCCCCACGATCAGCAGACTCGAGGTGCGAGTCCGAGTCGGGAGCCGCCGACAACAGCGCGGGCGTGTGCTCGTTGTCGTCGGCAACGGTCGGTGTCGCGGGTGCATTCGGGTCAAAGCCCGAGACAAACCCGGCCGTCGCCGCACCCGCCGACTGCACATCGGCGACCGGCTGCGATGTGGCAGGCTTGGCGAATCCGGACGCACCCCAGCGGCGCGAGACACCCTGCAGAACGATGCCCCCGACGCTCGGCGGCTCGGCAGCGGCGGCCGGTACATCAGGTGCGGCGGCGGCCGGTGTGGTCGGCACAGAGCCAGCCAGAGTGCTTGCAGAGTGCGCGGCGACAGCCGGTGCGGCCTGGGGCTGGAGGAGCGGGTTGTCGTAGGCGTCAAAGCGGAGAGCGGGCTTGGCAGAGTCAGCGGCTGTCGACGGCAGGGCGGCATCGAGGAGGTCGGCGTCAAAGGCGGCGCCGTCGGGCCCATCGTGCCACGACCGCTCGGCGCGCGGGAGGTAGCGGCGGCCACCGGAGGCGAGCGAGCGGGCGACAAAGTCGTCAAGGAACGGCAGGGCGGGGTCGACGTCGATAATCTCGTTGGCGGCGTCGACAGGCAGGACAACTTCCATGAGATCAAAGTCTTTGGTCAGCTGCTTGAACTCGTAGCAACGCTGTTGGATGTCGAGGACGGTCGAGTTGGAGAAGCGGTCAATGAGCTGCGCCACCGCGTGCGGGACGGCATGGACCTGAGCAACGAGCTTGGTGAGGGCCGAGATGATGACTGCACGGGTCTGCGGGTCGTCGTACGGGCGGCGGGCAAGCTCCACGAGCTTGGCCATGACCTGCTCCTCGGTGTAGTCGGCGGAGAGGTAGGTGTACTCGCCGAGGGTCCAGGAGATGGCGATGATGAGCAAGTCCGGGAGCGAGGGAGCGTCGATCATGGCGACATAGGCCGAGACGGCGTAGGCGCGTAGCTCGTCGTCGGCGTCGTCGTCGCCGGTGCCCTCAGCAATGAGGCGGAGCAGGTCGTCGAGCATGGCCGGCGATACAACGGTCGGCGCGTACTCAAAGACCAGGTTCATGACACGGACGTACCAGGTGGAGCTCGGCGCATAGCGCTCGGCGAGGTTGGCGATGCGCTCGACGAGGTCGGTGCGGAGGTGGGTGTCGACCGAGGAGCGAAGGTAGGCGAGGAGGCGCTCGACAACGGCCGACACGTTGTGCGGATTGGTCATCTTGAACAGAAGGTCCAGCGTCTTGCGCTTGAGGGTGTCGTCGTCACCCTCGAGCGAGTCGAGGACGGTGACGGCGTGGCGGGCGGCGTACTTGGGGTCGAGCGCCACAATCTGCGAGAGGGCGGTGATGCCGACGTAGCGGAGGTTGTTGTTGGTGGAGCCAATAAACTTGGAGACCATGTTGGCGGCCATCTCAAGGAGCAGCGTGTTGGGGTACATGGTGGCGATGGTGCGGACGGCTTCGAGCACTACCGAGAAGCCGGCAAAGACGCCGCAGTCGGCCTTGACCATGGCAACCTTGACAACCTCGTACGCTGATTCTGAGCCGCGCAGGTTGTCGGCGCAGAGCAGGCCGATAATGCGCAGAAGCTGGATCTGGATCCACGGCGCAGGCACGCCGTGGTAGGAAAAAGTGGACGCGAGCTTGTTGTCGGCGACTTGCTTGAGAATTGAGACAAACGAGGGGATTAGGTCGATCCACCCCGCCTTGTCCACCACAACCAGGTCGTGGATGAGAACAAGGGTGGCGGCCATGACGGCCGGGTCGCGGTCGCAGAGGACTTTGCGGATCTCGTCCTGTAGACCGTCGACGACATCGGGGACCTTGGAGTAGAGCGAGTGGAGGGCCATGACGGCCTTCTTGCGCACCATGCCTGACTCGTGCTGCAACAGCGAGACGACCGACGGTAGGACAGCCGGGATGTAGTCTGCCGAGAGCAGGGCCGTGCTGACAAGAGCCACACAGACCTCGAGCACGTTGGTCGACTTGAGATCGCGCTGCAGCGAGTGGACGAGCAGGATGATGAGCTCGTGTTCTGGATGCAGAAAGAGGGCAGCAGCAAGGTAGCCTGTCCGCTTGTGGAGGATGTTCTTCTCCTGAGTCAGGTTAACGGCGTGGATGTACGCCGGTTCAAACGAGAAGCCGAGCATTTCACAGTACATGGCCCTCACCAGCAGCTCCTTCTTGCCCTTGGCCGGCATGTCCGGGTTCTTCAGCGCAGTCTTGACCGTCTCCATCTCGTTCCGTACAATACGTTCCTCCTCCTGCCACACCTCCTTGATCATGTGAGTGCCGAGGGGAGGGAGGTAGGGGTAGAGGGGGTAGGGGAGGGAGGGAGGGGAGGGGAGGGGAGGGGAGGGGCGTACCTGCTTGGACGTGGCCTCGCCGATGTGCTTGACCAGGCGGAAGAACTCGTGGGAGAGCCCCCGGTATGTCTCGGAGGCAGACATAGGGGAAGGTGTCGAGGTGTGTGTGTGTGTGTGTGTGTGTGTGTGTGTGTGTGTGTGTGTGTGTGTGTGTGTGTGAGGTGGTGGGTGAAGTGCGTGAGGTGGGGTGACAGCGGTGGTGAGCGAGCTGACTCTGCCGGATTTCGCGGTTCGGTGCTGCCCGATCATGGCTGGGTCGGCGCCCCGGGGGGGGGGGGGGGGGCAATCATGCACACCACATCTATGCCTCTTGATATTTGACCATCTCTGCCACCCAGCCTAACCCTCGATGATGCGTGACTTCAAGGTCACCAGCCGACGCTGCGCGACGCATGCTTGGCCTGTGGCTTGAGGTGGGAGGCGCGCCCGCACGTGATGGCGGCCGACACGTAGACGCCTGCCTGAAGGATGCCCGAGCTGCCGTCGCGGTGACGCCCCGACGATCGGGAAGGAGAGCATGATAGAGCTGAGCACAGCGGCCGGGCGGGAGAGCGCGAGGACGTCGTGGATCGTCTTGCAACGGACGAGCTTGCCGGTCGGCGTGGCCGCGCAAGTGGTGGCACGCTATCTTGTACTGGATTCTGGACGCCGCGCTCATCAACGCGTCCGCGCTCTACGCCGACGCAAGCCCACGCCCCGCCATGACTCACGTGGCTTTTCTCTACGACATCATCGACGCCCTCGCCGCCGGCGCCGACGTCGTCAGCTTCGCGCTGTCGCGCAAGTGGAAGCGTCCCTCTGCAGCGGCTACTCGTCATCACCACTCTCCCCAGCAAGCCGCTCTGCGACGCGACTGCCTCCCCTGCCGGAAGGTTCATGGTAAGCGATCGCGGCCGCGGACCTTTTGCGCCGCGTGTGGCGTCCATCTCTGCATCGCCGACTGTTTTCTGTTGCGGCAGCCATTAACACATTGTACTACTCTTTTGCAACAATTCATGGACGTTGCGACGTCTGTCGAGCGTCGCGGAGCGCGGCTTGCGCGATGGACATCTTTGTCCATTGCGTACCGTAAAGGGATGAGTGTGTAGGACGTTGCAAAGGCCACGATGTCTTGATGCCCGAGATCGTGGGGGGTGAGCGGCAGAAGCAGATCGGATAAGCCCACGCCGACACACCCATGACCATGCCCCATACATGATCCCCCTCCCCTCGTTCCATCCGAACGTTCGAGGAGCAGACAAGGACACGTGACCTCCCTGGCGAATGGACGGGCAAAAAGAGTGGGAATGGGGCGGTGGGGACGACAGCGAGGTCAGTGGCACCTGACTCTCACCAGTGTAGCAAGAGAGAGAAGGAAGTATGTACAAGATGACCATTGCTGCTGTGCTGGCAGTCATGGCTGTGTCACTGTCCTTGGCGGCGGTGGCAGTGGAGGGCAAGGGCGTGACACTGGGTCTCTCGCGGACAGAGCATGGATTCAAGGCGGACAAGGAGATGATGATGATGATGACGGCGGCGGATTCGATGCGCCCGCATGCCTCGCATACCCTGCTCAAGCCGGGTGTCGGTGCCAAGACGGTTGAGGTGCCCATGTCTGGCGGACTCCTCACTCTCGGTGCTTACTACATCAACGTCACCATCGGCAGCCAGCCGTTCCTCGCCCTCGTCGACACCGGCTCGTCCAACATCTGGGTGACCGGCTACAAGCCTGACGCCAAGTACGCTCCGGTGGCCTGCAACTCACCGGTCTGCCAAAAGTGCAACACGGACGGCTCGGGCTCTTGCCTCTTTGGCCCGCCCATGTGCGAGAACGAGGTCTGCCAGTTTGGCATCACCTACGGCGGCGGCGGCTCGCTGGCGGCCGGCCCGCTCGCCACCGATACCATTTGCGTTGGCGGCCTCTGCACCGACTCGGCGCCGTTTGGCCGCGTGGAGACGAACCTTCCGCCGGGTCCGGGTGCGTTATCGGCCATTGTCGGCCTGGCCTTTGAGCGCAACGCGTGCAACCCGTCGTGCGTCCCGACGCTCTTCGACTCGCTTGTGGCCGACAACGCTGGGGTCGAGCCATTTTTTGGCATGTGCCTCACCCAGGACCGCGGCGGCGTCATTGACGTCGGATTTGTCAACACCTCGCGTGTCTCGGCGCCGTTTGTCGACATCTACGTCACCCACGAGCACTGGTACAACATCGAGGTTGTTGACTTTGTCATCGATGGCCACGGCCTCGGGCTGCCCGAGCTTGTGTACAAGGTCACTAACGACGTCATTGGCTCGTTCGTCGACTCGGGCACGTCACTCCTCCTCCTTGGCTCCCTGCCGTTTGCCGCGCTCGCAGAGCGCATGACGACCCAGTACGCCTCGCTCCCGGGCATGTCAGGCTCGTCCAACTTTTTCACCGGCGCCTGCTTCCCGACCTCGCTCGTCGACCCGCAGCTCGCCAACTACCCGGCGATCTCGGTTGCCATCAAGACGAACGACCCGAAGGAGCGGACCAAGGTTGTGACCCTTGCCATTCCGGCCTCGTCGTACCTCCTCAAGGCCGGATCGCAGCGTTGCCTCGGCATCGCCTCTGTCTCGGGCATCGGCGCCATCCTCGGCGACGTCTTCCTCGAGAACTACTACACCGTCTACTACCCGCAGGCCGGCAAGATCTCCATCGCCGAGGTCTTTGAGTCCAACTGCGTCCCGTCATAGCTCGATAAACCGTCACCGCGCCGCTGCCGAAGTGGATGCATGCACCAGCGGCGGGAGCGGGCAAAATAAATAGTATGCAACAAAAGGCGGTCACCCCCGCTGCTTACGCCAGCCAAAGAAAGGCGAGCACGCCAGCCAGGCCGTGCTGATGGGCGCGTGCGGCAGGCGGGGAGGAGAGCACACTTGCCTCTGCCTAGTCTCCAACTCCAAATATCTTGTTGCCATGTTCTCAGGCTTCTTCTGGCCGCTTATTCTCCGCACCGTTGCCGGTGCGCAGACGGTGTACGGCCTTGTCCTCGCTGCCGACGTTGGCAACCTGGCTCTTGTAGCCGGTACGCTGACAGGCCTCACTGCTATGGCCGTTTTCGTGGCTGCGGCCTGGGGGCTCTCCAAGCCATCGATTGTGGCGGCGTGGCGGGCAAAGGTTGCGCATGGAGCCGGCGGCTCTGTCGATGGCGAGCGAGGCATGCGGAGCGATCGGCTGGATGTGCTCGGTGTGGAGCAGGTCTACGTCGACGCTGATCCGGTGCCGCTGGAAACGTTTGGCGCGGCGGGTCGAGCCGAGCGGATTGCGGGCGGAACGGTGATGGTGGTTGGCGGCGGTGTGTCGGGCCTCGGCGCGGCCTGGGCGCTGGAGCAGGACGGGTGGCAGGTGACACTCATCGAGGCCGAGGCCGAGCTCGGCGGGCATACGACGACGCTGCGTGGGGAGGATCTCGGTTTGCCGGCGGATCCTGTGACCGGCGCCGTGCCGACGGTCGACCCCGGGTTCCAGATCTGCAACCCGCTGCACTACCCGGGCTTGCTCGCCTGGTTCCGCAAGTTGGGCAAGTACGTGGCGCTGCGACCGACCGAGAACTCGCTCTCTGTCTCGTCGCATGTCGACGGCTACGGCTGGGCGTCGTGCGCGTCGTGGCTCGGGCTGGTCAAGTGTCTCGCGCTGCGCGGGCGGAAGTTTGCGGCCATGATGCGCGATATGGTCCGGTTCCACGCCGAGGCAGAGGGCTACCTCACTGCTCTGCCGGACATGACGCTGCGCGAGTTTGTGGCGCGCGAAGGGTACTCGGACGCGTTTGCGGCCGACTACCTCATGCCGTGCGTTGCGTCACTGTGGTCGTGCTCGGCTGAGGGCGCATGGGCGTGCTCGATCCACTTTATCATCCGCTTCTTCCGCAACCACCACATGCTCAACATCTTTTCTCGCCCGGTCTGGCACACGCTCATCGGCGGCTCGTCGACGTACGTTGACGCGTTTAAGGCCTCGTTTAGGGGCACGATTGTGACCAGTGCGCCGGCGGCACGGTTGGTCCACGCGCCCAACGGTGGCGAAGCGTGGCGGGTGACGACTGCCGACGGGCGGAGCTTTGACGCCTCGGCCGTCGTCCTCGCCACCCACTCGTCGACGACGCTGCGGCTGCTGCAGGCCTCGAGCGCCGCGGTGACGTCCGGGCTCGGTACGCGGCGCGCATCGGCGTTGCTTGCCACGCTCAACGAGCTGCCATACTACTCGAGCAAGGTCTACGTCCACACCGACGCGTCGCTCATGCCCGCGGCGCGCGAGCTGTGGGCCTCATGGAACTCGGTCGTGCTTAGCACTGGCGAGTCGATCTGCACATACTACGTCAACAAGCTGCAGGCGCCCGACTACACCGGCACGGACATCTTTGTCACCGTGGTGCCAGAGGGCACGTCTGCGGCGGCGCTCCCGTCCGACCTCTCTCTCCTCCGCAAGCTCCCGTTCGACTGGGAGCACCCGTCGATGTCTGTGGGCGCAGTGGCAGCGCGGTGCTGCGACGCATCGCTCCAGCATCCGGGCGATGGACTCGTGCTCGCGGGCGCGTGGCTTGGCAACGGCTTCCATGAGGCCGGCTTCCAGTCAGGCCTGCGCGCGGCAGCGGCGCTGGGCGACGCGCGGCTGTAGCACAGATAGAGATTGAATTTATTGTTGCTTCCGCCGAGCATTACATGTACATGGTGGTGGGTGCATCGGAGGAGCGCCGGAGGCGTCGGATGCGATCCTGCTCCTCCTCTTGCTTGGCGTGCTTGATGCGGAGCTTGATGAGGGCCTTCCGCTCGCGTGATGCCGATCGCTCCATGCGCGAGGTGTTGGCGGCCTGGGCGATGGACGGGACGAGAACGAGGAGGGTACGGATGGCGCGCGCAGCGGCAAGGCCGTCCTCGTACGCCGGCGAGGCGCGGAGAAGGAGCGCTGTGACGTGCGGAGCAACAATGACCGACGCGTTGGCCAAGAGCGCGCCGGCGACGCCCGAGATCGCGCCCTTGGCCAGCGGGCCGTAGGCGAGGACCGAGAGCGTCCTTGCAGTGTCCTCGTGGGTGGTGAGGAAGTGATCGGTGTGTGACGAGGCGTCCGAGTCCGAGCCGCCATCGTCGCTCTCGCTCTCGTGACCGCCATAGCCCGGCGAGTCCGAGTCCGAGTACGAGTCGGAGCCGCCGTCGGGCTCCATCAGGTGAATGGCGTGGATCGAGTGCGCCATCATGCCAGTAGGCGGCAGCGCCGGGCCCGGGAATATCGGTGGTGCGCCGTGGCGCGACCGCGACCGCGACCGCCGCGGCGCCAGCGGAATGGTGTCGCCGTCGTCGGTGGTGAGCTCGGTTTCGGGCTCGGCCTCGAGCGTGTACACGTGCGGCGACTCGTGGCGCCCGGCCCAGGCCAGGATGTGGTCGACGTACGACGCAATGAGCGCTGGCGGAAGCTTGAACTCGGAGTAAAAGACCACCAGTCGCTCATCGCCGTGGACACGGAGCGGGAACGCCGGCTGGCCGTCGACCACGATGGCGTCGGCCGGGAGCGACGGCGCCGTAAAGTAGCCGATGAGCGGCAGCTCGAGCTCGCGGATGATGTGCTTGGCGACAAGCGCGCCAATGTTTCCAACCACCGACGGGAAGCCCTCGAGGACAGGTGCCCCATCGGCTGCCGCCGCGCCATCAAGCTCGTTGAGCACAAAGTCGCCATGGGCGTAGGCCTGGCGGACCTGGCGCCGGCGAATGACACCTGGTACCGAGCTGATCTCGCGTGCACTTGCCATCGGTGACTTGACCTTGGCTTCGGCCGTCTCCTTGTCGCTGCTGTCGCTGCTCGTCATCGTGTGCTGAAGCGCAGACGCCAGCGGTGGCACGAGCTCGGACGCCACAAGCGAGACCTTGGCCGATCCGGCCGGCACCGGGGTTGGCGACTTGGAGCCTGGCGATTCCGAGCTCGACTTTCCCGCCGCCTCGGCCGCAGCAGCTGCAGCTGCAGCTGCCGCCGCCGACCGGGGACCCGGCGGTGATCCGTGAGTCAGATCCGATGGCCCGTTCATGTCAAAGGTAGGGGTGGGGGTGGGTGGAGGGGGGGGGGGTGGCTGCGTTCCTCAATTTGAGAACACAATTCGGGAAGGGCGAGGATTCGGCGATGAGAACATGTGAGTGAGGGCGGGCGGGGTGATGGAAATGGCGGCGATACGCAGAGAACAAATGCAATGAGGCGGAATGAGGGATGCACAAGAACGTACTTGGGGGTAGGTAACCTTGACTGCCTTGTGGCTGTTGTTTCTATCTTGTTTCTACTTGGTCGAGTCGATGAACTCGGACGCGCACGCGGAGGGGCGAAGGGGACGGCGGAAGTGTTCCGAGTGGCTTCGGGCGAAAGTGAGTCAGGTGAATGGCACGAGCAGAGTGTGTGATGCGAGTAGGCGCAAACGATTGGATGAACCAATATTGGGGGAGGAGGTTTGGAACATGATGTGTTTGTGGCAGGAACAATGGCTATGACGCCACGCAACAAACGCGCCGTGCCGCACGTGCGGTACCGCCGACCGAACAACTGCCGGCCGGCCGGCCAAGAGAGGACAGGGTAGGATGTGATGGGTGCGGCTTCAGAAGGCCTCCCCGGAAAAGTCCGAGCCTGAGTCGTCGTCATCGAGGTCGACGTCTGAGGCTACGACGCCCTGGATGTTGGCCGGCTCGGCGGGGACCTCGACCTCCTCCTCGTAGTACTCGTACTCATCGTCGTCGTCGTCGACGCCGGCGGCTGCGGCGACGGCGTTGACGACGGCGTCGAGCGCATCACCGGCGCCTGCAGCTGCAGCGCCATCGTCGGCTGCGTCATCGTCGGCGTCGGCGACGTCAATGTCGACGGCGTTGACATCAGCGCGGGTAGTGTCTGCAGCGGCGGTGTCTGCGGCGGCAAGGTCGTCGTCGTCGTCGAAAAAGTCGGACGAGGCAAACGAGGCGTTGGTGGCGGCGAGGTCGTGGCCGGACGGCGAGATGCCGACCTCGTACTCGGACGGCGGCTCGCAGACGAGCTTGGGCGCGACGCAGACAACAATGTCCTCGTCCTCGTGCGGCGGGAAGACCGGCACGACCGCGGCGTCGGGGCCCTTGGGCACGCGGACGGCATCCGAGTGGGTGAGCAGCTCGCGGATGGCGGCGTCGCCGGACGGGCCGTAGATGATTTTGGCGTCCTCCTCCTCGAGCTTGCGGGCGAGCTCGGCCTCGGCCTGCGCCATGCGGCGCTTACGGCGGAGCTTGCGCTTCTTGACCGTGTCGTTGATGACGACGCGCGAGGGCCGGACAAAGACGCCGTAGGCAACGCGGTCGGCAATGTCAATCGATTTGAGGTCGGCGTTGCGCTTTTCCTTGAGGCGGCGCTCGCGACGGCGCTTGGCGATCTCGCGGCGGACCTCGTCTTCCTCGGTCGTCTCGCCGGACTGCATGCGGCGGTAGGCAGCGTAGCCCCAGCGGAGGTGGGTAAAGGCGCCGGTGTGGAGGCGGTCGGCCTCGCGGGCGCTCCGCTTCGACTCCTGCTCTTCGACAAACCGGGCCATGGTAGCCTCCAGTGCCTCGTCGGGCGTCCGCGTGTTCTTGGCGCAGGTAAAGTACCGCACGCCGTCGACGTAGCCAAAGTTCTTGCCGTAGTGCGGGTCGTCGAGCTCGACGCCGACCCAGGTACCGTAGGCAAACTGTGTCTGGCCCACAAACCGGACGGTGCCGGCCACGGTCTTGGGCGCGGTCCGGAACGAGAGGCCCTTGTCCTCCTCCACGCGGCCGTTTTCCTCCCACAGGTTAAGCTCCGGGTGGTCCGGGTCGACCATCTTGGGAATGGTGATGTTGTTGCGAACGACGTCGAGCTCGCGGGTCTCACGGCGGCGCTCCGCCCGGCGGCGCTTGGCCTGCGCTGTCGCCTCGTCATCGTCCGACGTGATGCCCGGATCCTCGTCCGCAAAATCGTATCGGATGACTGGATGCGGGAGCAGGTTCGTCACCCACACCTTGGTTCCGGGCTTGAGCAAGGCCGCCGGCTCGAGACGGACCTTGTCCGGGCGCACAAAGATGCCAAACTTCTTGCGCGCGCCCGGCGGCTTGAGCGACCCGTCCTTCTTGCGGTTCTTCTCCAGTACAAACACCGTCCGGCTTGCAATGTTGCCAAAGTTCTTGCCATGCCGCGACGAGTCGAGCTCCACGCCAAGCCAGAGTCCGGGCTCCTTTTCCGGCAGCTCGTCAGCAAAGCGAATGACGCCGTGTGCCTCGGTCTTGCGATTGATGCGGACAGCAACCCGAGCGCCTTTACGCAGGCCCTGCGCCATCTTGTACTCTTCCCCAAGCGCCCGGACCAGCGGGTCTCTCCTCAGCTCATGCGCAGTCATAGCCACGACGCCGCCTTGATGATAAGCTCCCGACGGCCGAAACGGAGCCCGCTCCTGCGGCTCCACATCCTAGTGGCCACAGAGAACGATAAAGGAAGAGAGATACACACACACATACACACATGGGTGGGTGAGTATGGTCGGTGGTAGTGGGGGGGGGGGG